AACCCCCTACATCATGACCAGCCTCACCTCCCCTGAACATCTATCTCACTTCTTCGATGCCTCCCAAGGAAAAAGCCCCGAACAAAAAGCGATTTTATACATGAATTCTTCTTTCACCGGATCTATTCTTTTACCTGTATGCACCCTCAAATCCAATACGCCCCCCTTGTAGCCATCTTATGCGCACATACCATACTCTATCTATGTCTATGTAGATCCAGAACCATGCCATGGCGCTTCACAAGAACGGACACCATCCAATATACATGGCGGACAAGTTCCTCGGGTCGACCGCCTGCTTGATCAGCTCGTCCACGTACCCTTCCACGCCCAGGGGGATGCTCTCGTTGGGCAACAACCCCCTGAGCTTCCTCTTGATACTCTCCACCACGTACGGCGGTTCCAGCCTCACCTCCCCCGGCGCCACCACCGCCGGCCCGCCCCGCCCCGTCTTCTTCACCTTCTGGAGGTCCAGCGTCGGGTCGTAGATAAACGCCTCCAGCACCGACATGAGCGTCTCCTCCTGCTGCCGCAGCACCCCGAGCGACAGCTCGCAGCACGTCCGGAAAGGGCCCTCGTAGCCGGCCATCCCCATCGCCGCCACCATGTTGTGCGTCAGCCGGAACGGCACCCTCTCCGGCTCCGCAAACGTCCGCCCCTTGTCGAACAGGCAGTTGAAGTCCACGTGGAACACCCCGCCGTTGTCCTTCTCCAGCAGCACGTTCTCCCCGTGCCGGTCCCCGAGCCCCAGCATCGTCCCCACCATCGACATGACCGCGCACGACCGCGTGTACTTGACCCGCGCCGCGAACCACTCCGCCGGGTGCGGGAACTGCTGCACGAACCAGTGGTGCAGCACCGGCGGGAACGTCCCCAGCACGTCCCGCTGCCACAGGTGGATGTTGTCCGCCCCCACCAGCGCCTCCTTCATCAGCCGCCGGATCCGCACGTAGTCCGGCGCCACCCCGCGCACCCGGTACTGGTCCAACAAGATGTCCCGCAGCGTCTTGAGCCCGTCCACCCACTCGATGACGCCGCACTCCTCGTTGAGCGGCGTCACCGCGTACGTCCGGATGTACAGCTGCCGCCGGCTCGACTCGCCGTCCCGCTTCAGCGCCCGGTTGATCATCCCGTTGAACTCCATCAGCCGCTGGTCCGTCCGCAGGTCGTCCTTGGGCTTGATCAGCAGCATGTAGTTGCTCCCGTCCGACCCCCGCGCCGTCAGCCGCCGCGGCCGCGCCAGCGACCCCAGCACCAGCACCTCGTCCAGGAACGACTCGATCGTGATCACGTCGCGCGAGAACGCCTTGTGCTTCCGCACGTTCTCCGTCAGCGTCGGGAGCGTCGCCGACAGGCACCGCTCGATCGGCACCACCAGCGGGCACGGCGTGCACTTGTGGTTGAAGTACAGGTCCCGCGCGATGCTCGCCGTCGTCGTCCGGTTGCTCTGGAACGTGCCGTTGTTGCACGCCACCAGCAGCTGCTCCGCCAGCTTCTCCCCCATCCGCAGCAGCAGCTTCACGTCGTAGCTGCCGTTCTCCACCTTGGCCGACGACCCCCGCAGCATCTGCAGGATCCGCTGCCCCCGCTCCCTCCGCTCCGACGCCTGCTTCGTCGTCATGATCCCGAACAGCCCCCAGAGCGCCTGCCGCGGGTGCGCCTCCACCACCTTGACCAGGATCCGCGCCAGCCTCTCGAACACCTGTTGGTTCGGGTGCGCGATTCTCGCCACAATCTGCGGCAGCGCCGTGTAGAACACGTACGCCGGCAGCTTCGCGATGTACTTGTCGAGGAACTTGTGCAGCATGTTCAGCTGCTCCACCCGTCTCCGCTGGAGTTCGCGCGAGATGGACATCTTCCCCTCCGGCGGCTTGTCCACCTGCGCCCCGAGATCTAGCCAGAGCGTGAGAATCCTGGGCAACGTCTGGTGGAGGTATTTCGTTCCGTAGCTCAGCGACCGCAGGTAGTTCTCCATCACCAGCCTCGCAATCTCGCCCTGCAGATAAGCGTCGCTCTGGTGGTCCAGCTTGAGAGACTGCTCCGATTCCATCAGCTTCTTGTAGTGCCGTCCCAGGAAGAAGTGGCCCTTCTCCCACGCCGAGAGCGTCTTGGGCACTTGTTGGTACTTGTCGCGAAGCGCCACCACGTGCGTCTGGCCCGCCGCGTCCAGCCATTTCGCCAGCGTCAGCTGCGCCCTCGCCGTTAACATTCTCTGCTGCATGTCGAGGCCCTTTGCCGAACCCGCAGCGCTATTGATCTGCGTTGCGAACTTGTTGGCATCGATAGCCCCCTGCAATACCTGGATGGCTTTGCGTGGATGCCCGTCCTTCCATAGCAACCTCGCGTTCTCGATGACCGCATAGTCGTCACCGAGCTGGGAGGCGTGGAGAACCGCGTTCAGAGACTGGTGCATCGAGTTTGCTTTCCGTGCGAGCCGGGCACTGGCGAGCCAGAGGGATGAAATGTCGAGATTCGAGAACTTGGGTCTAGATAGCAGTGAGTATGAAAAGAAAGTAGACAACGGTGGGAAGAGAGAGGGAGGTAAAAAAGAAATAAAGAAAAGGAGAATGGAGAATGGAACATGACAACGTACCGGCACAGTTCCATGGCAGCCCGCCGAATGCTTAAAAGATACTGCTTATCGTGGACGTATGGTCCCAGGACCTCCAGCCGTCGGTTGAGAAGGTCCAGGACCACCTGGTGCGCCGGCCCTTCCGGCTCTACTGTGTCGGCGATGATCTCGATATCAGTAAGGACATGGCAACGAAGCATGAGCTCGTGGGACGCCTGCAAGGTCGACGTCGCCGAGTACGTCATGGCCGACGCGATCTTCTCTCGCAAGCTCTGCATCGTCTGCTTGAACGTGACGTCGTCGCGTTGCCTGTGGCGCATCGCGTTGAACAGCTCCGCGATCCCGACGTTGAACTCATCCAACGGGTCCCCGTGGAACCGGCTCGCGTATTTGGAAAGGCTCTCCCAGCGGCCCGTAGCCCACGCAGCTTCCACCGCGAATGGGACGATCTTGTTCTCGGACACGGCTTCGGTCTGCATGCCCTCGACGTAGTTCAAGAGCACATCGTGTTGCCCGGACTGCTTGAGGCAGTTGAGCAGATCCACTTGAACGTCGACATTGTGAGGCTCCTCCGCCAGTTTGATCTCATACCAAGTCTGCGCCGCAGACCACCTTCCGGCCTTTTTGTGGCTGAGAATCTGCTGGTTGATATCCAAGACGTGTAGGCGGGCGGAGATACCCTCGAGGCCGTCGGGCTCGTCAATTTGCGCGTAGATATCCTGCAGACGCTCCAGGAGCCGCGTCCTCTCCGTGGGGTCTCCTTCGTTCACTTCGATTTCTTGAGCGTGGTGCTCGAGATAGAAGAGCGCGCGAGAGTACTGGTTGCAGTCTACGGCGCGCTGGGAACGTAGCTCTGGCGGTATCCTGTCTACCATTGCTCTTACACGCGAAATCGCTGCCTCGTCCGACTCGGCTACAGTGCGGCGGGTTTTCTCCTGGACCCATCTCATCGCATAGTCGAGAACACGAAACACGGCCTGTGGGATACTTCTCGTCAGTAAAACATCCCAACAAACCAATATGACGATCCCCAATATCGCTACTTACCTCGCAGTACAATTTCATGTCCTCCCGTTCGGCATATGTGGCGTGATCGGCCGGTTGGTTTTGAAGGACGTTAAGGAGCTCACTCGTGACATGATTCCTTTCTTCCTCGCTGATCGCATCCCCGACCACGACATGAACAACCAAGTAAGGCAGGAGGAACTCTGCCACGGAGATGTCCTTGACCCGGATGACGCGAGTAAGGGGCTCGAAAAGCAGTTGTGCGTGGGGATTCTGTCCCTTCTGCAGGAGGTTCAGGACGTACGAACGCATCCAGTTGCCGTAGGGCTTCCCCCGGAAGAAGATGGGATATTCGGCCGACGGTAGGTTCGCTTGCGCAAGCATGTATCTCGACCTCAGGAACGGCCTCAGGACTTCGCGGACGTCTTCGGACAAGGCGAGCCACTTTCGGTAGACGCGCTCTCCATCCCGGATATTCTGCTGCTCCATCTCCAAGGCGGCTCGGATGTCTATCTTGTCCATGAGCTCTTGCATGGCAAAGGATAAGTAGCCCTGGAGTCTGGTGTCGGTTGTAGAGAGGAAGGATTTCACCAGAACCTCCTCCAGGATGAACAAGACAAAGTCCGTCATCTCCTCGCGCGCTTCAAGATTGGTGAGGATTGCCATGGACCTCTGCCGCCTCGTCGCCTCGATCCGGTTCGCGTCGAGACATCCCACCAGGCCCATGCATTGTGTGCATAGACTGCCAATGTCCGGTTGTGAGACGCTGTACTTCGCCGCACAGTCAAGGAGTGCTCGCATGAGCGTGGGAATCACACTGTCCGTTTGTTCGCCGACGGCTGACGTCTGGAGGTAACTTTGATTCTCTTTGAGGTATGCCACTAATTCGGTGAGACCCAGAAGCACAACACCGGAGTTCTGGTGACATATTCTCTCCGCGAACAGCGCAAAGGTAGTCCGCTTGTCCATCGGATGCCGCAGGGACGCAAGCTTAGATTCCACTTCTGACAGATACGGTATGTGCGCCAGGCGGGGCAGTTTGTTGATCATACCGCCATCGAGAACTTGTCGTGAGTTGTCCAGCATAGTCAACAGCAAATTCTTGGCCAGTCGCTGCGTGTCCGTGTCAAAGAGAGACCAATAATGATTGATAGTGAAAAAGGTAGGTTCGATGAGAACCTCCACATCCTCATCTTCGAGTTTGGTCAGCAGAGCGGCCCAGCAAGAGAATGCCGCGCTCCTGAGATCGTCGTGTGTCAAGGCCGATAGGAGACAGGCGGATATCTGAAGATGAGAGTCAGACACGGTCTTCGAATCCTGTTATCGCGATTACACGCCGCCTCTTCTTACCTGTGGCCGTGCAATTCGCACATATGCCCTGCACACCTTGATCATCTCCTCCATGGCGCGCAGGCAACGCCTCTGTGCTTCGACGGGAGGAGATCTCAGCTGACGGTCATTGATAACATCGACCAAGCGCGACATCAGCCCTAGCAAGTACGACTCCAAAAATCGGCCCACCACGTTGGCTGCTTGTTTCTTAGATTTGGTCTTCAGGTCGCCACTGGCCGTCATCAACTGGGTACACATCCAAGTCAAGGCGTGGATAATCTGCCCAAAAGAAAGAGGAAGTCAGCCCAAGGTCCCGCCGGCTCTCAGGGGTTGGACACTCACCCGAGGCTTCTTGTCCTCATCGGCATCACCAGCAGACTTGAGAAGCTCGAGAACAATAGAGAGGGCTTCTGGTTGCATCAATCCCGTGAGTGTGCAAGATTCAAAGTGGGAGGCAAACTCGCGGAGCCTCGACATGACAAACTGCTCAATGTCGGGAACATCTTGGATGAGGAGAAGCGCCATGATGGGTCCATTGTTGTCGCTGTCCATCAAGACGGATATGGGGTCCTTTTCCTGACGGGCGTCAACAATCTTCTGGACGACGTCCTTCTTCTTCATAAGGACAAGCCAAGGCAGCGCATAGCTCTGGACGTGGAGCAGCAGCTGGTTGACTGATATCTGGAGCAATTCGGCAAGCGCACGACTAATTTGGGGTCTCGAAACCATGTCTTTGACGGCAAAGAAAGCCAAGTTGCCCCAGAAGGGTTCGAATAACTGCCGACAAGAGACCCTGCGGCTCGCAGCAAGATTGATAATCTGCGTGATGGCTGGTGGTTAGCTCGGCTTTGACACAGTAGGCAGGGCAGGCAATGACAATGACAGTGCAGACCTCGCTGAAGGCACATGACGAGATGAGACTGTTGTTGCCACCAAGATACTCAAGTAACTTGTGTAGAACCAGATTAAGTTCGTCCCCCGAGACGATCCTATTCGCGTTGTGTTGGTTAGATACGAGTCAACAAGAACAGCTGGGAGGGGAGTGAAACGACATACCTGCCCAGCTGGCCCCAGGCCATGATATTAGTCTCACCAGCGCCCATGACGCTCTGGTCGGAGATCCCCTTGAGGAGAGCAAGGGCATTTTTGCGGTTCCGGTCCACGACCGCCTCCGCAATTTCTGTAGACATGGATCGTCTCATGAACACTGCCAGAGTTCGACTATCGCATTGCGCGTTAGACTGATATCCCACCTCCGGAGTCTTCGGTGATGAACTTACCCAGCAGCAATACGAAGTTCTCTGATGGAGCTTTGCATACATTGCAGACACCACTGTCCGAGCTCCGAAGTTTCAAGATCGAATAAGTGAGAATCATCAGTATGTGTGATCAAGCGTCTAATACAGAGCATGGCAACGACTCTTTGACGACGAGAGCTCAAGAAGGGTTCGTCGCCAACGAGATTGATGAAGATAGACTGCGCCTCAGCCTTTGCCTGAGCATTGAGTTTCTTGGACCGCGGCCCGACACCGTTTGACCTCGAGCAATAATCACAACGAGACATCCGCTTTTCACGGTCATGGTCCGATGGCGCAAAGCAAACAGCATCGTCGACCACACAGCACATGAGGGATACTAGATTGATCACGGCACATTGATCGGCTTCGTTGAGTTTGGAGTAGTTGGCCCTATTACCATGTGAGTGACGAGGTGGAGGTGCACCCGGGTGTCAAGGGCCGGCTGGAGCTTACCAGAATGCGCCGGTCAACGACAATCCGACCGCATCAGGATCGACACCGAGTATCCGGTATATTACTGCAAGTAATTCGGGAAGCTCTGCGGCCTCGGAAGAAATCTTTCGACGTTTCGCAGGGAGTTCCGAAGCTGGTTCGGCTTGCGGGGCGAGTTGCAGAGCTTGTACTTGACAGCGAAGGTCTGGGTCTGTAAAGGACGCCGGCTGTGTGTCCGATGTAAGCTCTTTCGGAGGGGTAACCCCAGTCGTTTGAATGAGAACCTGGACGGATCGCTTCACGGGGGTCAGCCTCTCGAACGAAAAGGTCGTCAGGTAGCGCGACGTGGCAGGAAGGAGAATGGAGACATACTCGAAAATCGGTGGGCTCTCCCAGCAATGGGAAATGAAGCATGAGAGCTCGTAATGGATCAAGGATTTTAGATACAATCAAGCTGCCAATGCTCCTATCCCGGAGGGCAAGATTGGCTAGGTGTAGTAAAGCGTTACAGAAAGCCTTTCTAGCAGGCTCAGCTCGGGTTTGATCGGCGGTCGTGAGTTCATAATGTTGGTCCACCATATCGGCGCAGTGCAAACCTAGTAGTGTGTACACCTTCCTTCGAGCAACGAGGTTCGACCCCAGACTCGGCGGGAACAGCAAGGACAGTGTCGCTTGCAGGGTCCCTACTTGGTTCGCAGGAACAATATCTTTCCAGCTATGTCGGATTACGCGAAGGGAGAACAGAGAGTCTAGTAGCCAGGGCCTATGTGTCGAGAGAGCGGGGCTACCAACGAGGTGGTGTTGCGACACGAGTGGTCGGGACAGGATAGTCAACAAGCTAGACACATGACGGATGGCTTGAGACGTTTGAGCGATGGTGTACGTGCTCTGCTTCGCCGAATGCGTGGCATTCTTTCCGATGATGAGCTCCAAGCTGCCATCTTCCGGTAGTGTCATGTGTAATGGTGCATCTCGTGAGGTTGAGGAGGGGAGTAAGTTGCGCAGCCGTAGAAGCAAAGCTACCCCGTCGTGTCAGTCGTCATCGAATTCAAGAACATGTCCAGGCATGGATCCCTCACCATCTGAAATCTCCCGAAAATAAGCCACAATATCTGCAAGGGTGTTCTGAAGAGCTTGAGACAGGGCCAGGAGTGCCAGGAGCTCTTGGAAGAAACCCTCGATGTCGGGGCTGAGGTCCAGGAACTGGGCATGGCCCAGGAGCCGAAGTAGTTTCGGAAAAACCCATACCCAGAGGGGTTCATCTCCCCGTAGCTCAAACTGCTGTTCTGTCGCATCGATATATTGCAGAACGGCGGGCGTCTCGTGGACAATAAGCTTGAGGAAGCTGATGGCACGAAGGACTTCCGATCGCAAGTGGTTCCGATCGGCGAAGGGATCATTGAGTCGAAGGCCTCCTAGGACGGCACGAATGAAGACGTAGGTCAAGAGATGGTTGTGCCCGAGTTGATCTTCCGGGGTCTTAAGGAGGCCGGGGTTGCTCTCGACTTGCTGGATAATAGCAGACAGCCTTCTCAGCTCTGCATTATCGTCGGAACGAGATGTTCTTGTAGAAGCCGAGATGTTCTCGACGAGCTGGGCGGCCAATGTAGACGGCGGAGGAGCAAACTCGGCGCCCCCGTTGTGTGAGACCATGATGCCATTTGGGGAGGTCGGCCAGGTTCGCGGTTGTGGTTCATTCCCTGGGTGACATTGCGGTGAAGAATCGAAGCCATAGATGGAGGGCGTGGCTATGATGGGTTACACTAGCAAACACGAACCGCGATAGTGGGGTTTCCCTCACAACAACGCGAAGTCACGTGATGATTCGGTGCCGTTGTCCGCGGCTTATATAAGATAAGCTACGTTGCCTGGCTTGACGGTTACTGAGTTCACCGTCCAACATAAAAATCTTCCCCCACCGCGGGTACTGTTTTTGTTTTATGACCGTCGTCAGACACATACGAGGTTAGGTTTATTCCGTCAACGAACCATTGAACCGTCGTGGAGGACCTGCAACGGTCTTCTTGATGCTTAAGCAGCTTGTCCGGCAGATACATCATGGCGACGCGGAATCCGTTATATCCGAAGTACATAGTGTGGCCGAGCAACAGCACATGGATGACGTCATCAACACAACCAATAGGGTCAGCATCATGATCCCGAGGATCAATATTCAGTGGTGAAAATCTATCTTCATGATCGGAAGGAGCTGATATACCTTATGCTTGCCCTTTTATGGCGAGTACAAGATAGCATAGTACATGATTGCTCTGATGACAGTGGAACGAGAGGTCAAGTTCAAGGAGGCTTTATGTCTTTTCCACCAACCACCCCTACTATGCGAACATCATATAGTCAAGCATCTGCTGGGAAGCAAAAAGCGGAATACTTACACAGCCGCCAGCTATAACGTAGCCCAAAAGTATATATAAAGTGTTTACCCGATTCTGCATGCAACTCGTAACTTCGTACCTGGGTAATTACCTACCTTACCTACCTACCTTATGTACGGCGTAGGTAGGTACTTTCGGTATGGGTACCTTATGGAGGGGTATGATACATGGACACCGGGCAAGTCTCGGAAAGGGATGCCCGATATCCACCGATCTGGTGCGATGGCACGAGCTGACGACGGCAGAAGGAGGTAGGGTTTAGAGACCATTAGGTATATCGTATAAAAGCGTCCGGGGAAATCATACGAAAAAGACGTTTATTAGCAGGACCTTCGCAGAGACGTTCCTTGCTACTATGATCATATAACTACCCCGCCTATTTCTGATACACTTACTCCGGAGAAACGTTCTTACAAAGAACCTCTCACACCTGCCAGGTCAAAAGTACCTAACCTAGTATTTATCAACATCAACGCCTACCTTACTAAGATCAACTGCGTAAAGCAGAGTTAAATGCTCGTACATCGCGCTTGCGTCGTCATCCGTCTCCGCATCACCAGCGTGCCTCCTTTGCTGGATGTTACGTACTACCCACCCATCGTGGTCGAGGAGAAGAAGTCGGTCGTACGAATTCAAGGCAGGACACCATAGTGTCTGAGAAGACCCCTCAATTTCCCCTCACATGGGCTGGGATCCGTAGTCTTCTAAAAGGCATGCTCGTCGCCTCCTGACGATCCGACGACTCTTCCTTGTTTCCCCTTTCAAACCTGGGCTGTATTGTTGTTCCTCTGATCCCCTTTCATACCGGCTCTCCCCTTCGTTCTTACCTTCGTCTTGCCATTGCTCCAGAATTAATTCGACATCCCTACGATTTCCGCGTCAGTTATATCAGAGGTATATCATCTCACGCCATCACCTAAAGTCTCCTAAGCTTCCCGCTTCCCCCGCTCGCCATTCAACCCCTCCCGAGCCTCATACCATGGCCGCCGCGACAGAACTCAGCCACCATTTCCCCAGGACTGACGATGTCGAGACGGCATCCGTCCACTCCGAAGCCCCATCTTATGGTATGTAAGAGAGAGGGTGCATTACTCGCACCTAATCATCTACTTGCTATTGTCCAGAGTTGGACCTAGCTAACGAGAAGCTTTTCAAGTGTCCGAGGCACCTTCCTACCACACTGTCGCTTCCCAACATGAGCCCATCCCTCCCTACACCCCTCCAGGGACAACCACCACGAGTCACAGTACCAGCATAGTCCAGCCCGGAGCATCAACCGCTACTTCAGGCCAAACCTCTGCACCTGCCCGCACACCCCCCTCGTCTTCCCGGCCACGGACAACAGGCCTCCCTCCCATACCACCCCGAAGCTCCGCAGTCCCTCAACTAGACCAGTTTCGCATCCCAACCTGGTCCCCAATCCATTCGAACCCAACATATCACAATGTAGCACGCCGCCGTGCCCGCGGAGACGCCAACGATCCTGTCGCGTCCCTTCGCCGTTCGATTTTCCTCGAGCGCGTAGCTGAAGACGAGGATCGTCTTTCTTCTTCCTCCTCCTCCTCCTGCTCCTCTTCGTCATCCCCGTCTTCTTCCTCAAGCCATGCTCGACCCGGCTCCTCGTCGACATCCTCGGCATCGACACCCCGTCGTCCGCTTGAAGATCCCCATCTCGTGGGCGAGGCTGCTGCGGCGGAAGCAAGACGCGTCAGACTCGCCCGCGAGAGAGGGAACGAGATCCTCATACAAGAGGATCGTCAATGGAACTGGTTCATCGGTATGCCGTCACCCGTCTTGTCTCCCCTCTGCGCAGAATTGGTCTACCGGACGCCCTTTATCTATCTTGGTGTAGTTGGGTATGTAATAAGCTGACGCCCAAAAACACAGCCCAGATGGGAGACTGGGATGAGCGGGATCGCAGCTGGACTCGGTTCCGACGGGAGATCGAATCGGGACAGCGGACAAAGCTTTCTCGCCGACTCGCAGGAAATTGAATTGCGGCAGCGGAAGAAGTTCCTTGCCTTTCGAGCGATGGATCCTCTTTTCTCGCGCTGGCGTGGGATCACTGTCGTTTGTGCTCTTTATTATCATTATGGGGAGGTGTCTTGGTGAAGAATGAACCCAGCAACAGAACCCAAGGCTTTTGGTAGGGCATCACTGGGACAGCAATTTGCAGCTATAGTTTTAGGTAGCTTAGCATAGTGGGAAACTCATCTGGGGCCGAAAACGATACCCCTCCGAAGAATATCGATTGAAGATATCGTGTATATCCTCAGTCAAGTCACACATGTGGATCGAGGAGAGGTTAGTCCGAATTCTCAGTTGTTCTTGGCGTCTATCACGGTGCGGAGACCGGATGGTCCGTAAAGCAGCACTCTGCCCCTGAAATGAGCACTCATTTCATAGTTCCATTCATATATAGACATATGCGTGCCGGGGAGCACATATCTTGAGCGATCGAGACGTCCCAGTGCAAAAGCGACGTCCGATGGAATGTCCTGTCTCGTCTCCCGCTAGTGCGAAGATTCAATATCTCCTTCCACATAAAAAAGAAACGCCGTATTAATGCAGTCGCCTCTCGCCCATCCTGATTAGGGGTTTCTCGACCTCTTCCCGCGAGCCTTCGGAGCCTGGATTATGAGTCCGACAGTTATATGATACAGTGGTTCGCACTTTCCAACTCTTTCGTTGGGGAGTTTCACGTTGGTCGGTCGATGCTGTCGTCTTTGCTTTGTTTCAGCCGGCGCTTCTCGTGTTGAGGATCAGAGCGACGATGAGGCTTGCGCGGCGCATAATGTTAGCAAAAAAAAAAAAAAAAAAGGATTGCAACACTCGCATCAGCATTAGGGGGGGTAGTCTCTGCGGTGTTCTCCTTACCCGTACAGTCCGAGGACTTCGCCAAAGATAAGAATGAGGACCATGCCGACGAAGATGCGGCTCTGTTCCATGTAAGCGCGAACGCCCTTGTCGCCGACGATGCCGATCGTGTATCCTGCTGCGAGACCGGCAAGGCCTACTGAAAGACCTGCGGCAAGGTGCATGAAGCCGCTGTAACGCCGGATGGAGTGTCAGCAATGATGGTCTGTGTTCTGGAGCTTGAATCGCACTCCAGCGCGGGAAAAGACGAGGGAAGACGGAGATGAGGACGATAGGTAGAGACAAGTTGGGCTGACCTGAACAAGCTGTAGTGGCCGCCGGAACTGGGAGGGACCAGGTCTTGGGCGATGAGGACGGAGACGACGAGGGCGTACACGGCAATGATACCGGACATGACGACTGGGATCAAGCACTGTTGAATGTATCATATTAGACATAATGTCAATGCGTAGGAGGGAAAGAGGACGAGATGCATGCCTTCATGATTAGATCTGGCCTAAAGGTTCCCACGCCGGCAATACCAATGCCTGACTTGGCCGTGCCGTAGGCGGCACCCATGCAGCCAAAGATCATGGCTCCCGCAATTCCACCCTGATGAAAACTTGATGTCAGCATCAGGATTCCATGTTGCCCAAGACGACGTGCCGTTGCCCATATCGCAGGCAAAGATGGGGTGGGGCGCTTTACCATGCCCACGAAGGGCGCGAACTTGGGCGCAAGATCGGTGTCGGCCATCTTTTCGTATCGAGTGTCCCTTCTACCCTGTTATGCTGTGATAGAACCAAGAGAGGAGAGTGGGTGGAAAGACGTCGATGCTGCTCAGACGCCTTGTTTGGGCGAGGGTTCTTTGATGTCTCGATGTTGTCACCTGTAAGCCGCATGTATAGAGCTGATATCCTGGGCTTTGGAGCTTCTCATTGAAACGGCGACCAAAAAAGAAGTCACGCGCATCCTCACATGATTCAAGCTTTGGGGCCCCATAAATTGAAACCTTCGAAGTACCTACGTAGCATTACGTAATGAACTACCTAGGTACTCCGTACCTGTTTTTATCTGCCCTGTGCTGTGCCTGACAAGACGAGTGGGGACCACGAACTGGATTCATCTCTTCATCCAGCCAATCCGTACCTGATACAACTAAGGTATTCGGCCTCCAGGTAAAGAGCCTTCAGCGTCTTGTGGTACACTATAATTACCATGTGCATCATTTTCTTTCTTTCTTTTGTTAATCATACATCTAGTCTTAATCTCTTCCATGCATTTGATACCCTTTGTCGGAGGTAACCAATACTGCTGCAGTTGCATACCCATCAGGGGCTGATCCTGGTCTGGGTCTGTCCAAAGACACTCGCAGCAGTGCAGGTAGGTAACCCACCATAACTGGCGTGCGTCACCCGTCACCCGTCACCCGTCACCCCCGTCACACGCGGGCCCGACGTGTTTCTGTGGTTTCCCCAGGAGATAGGGAGGCCTGGCCTCTGATGGGCCTTGTTAAAAAGTCAACAAGCGAGCTGACCCGTTTCACAACATCAAATTTGGTGCTTTTTCAGCCAGTTAACCAACTCCTTTCGTGTCGCGATATTAGAGAGAGAGAGAGAGAGAGAGAAGAAGAAGGAGAAGAAGTAGTAGTCGCGACAGAGACCCTTGAAAGTCGCTGGAGTTGATTTTTTATTTTATTTTATTTATTTACGGGTATTTTGGGCCTTTTGAGTGGACCAGCTTTTGGAGCCGTTAGAGCTGGGCTCCTCCTTCCGTAGGTAGGTACCTTATAGAGTACCTTACTAGGTAGATAAGGGAGGTACGTCCCTAAGCCCGGACCTGCCTAGTGGCCTATTCAGCCTGGTCGGTTTAAGTGGATCGAGAGGGATCCCGGCCGGGGATGCAGATTGCCCACGACGCCTGCTTCTTTTAGGATCCTCGACAGTCCAGCCCTGGTTGTCCCAAAGTTGTACAACTATGATTTGTATGGTTTTTCTACCTTACTTGATTTTCTAGCATACCGTCCACTCGCATTTCCACGCCGCATCTAGCGCTTCCCGATTCCGATGGCCTGACAGGAACAACTCGATCATCAAGCACCACCTCGTCTCCCGCGTCTCCCGCGTCTCCCGCACAACATCCATCCATCCGACCACGCCCGCACCTCCGCTGCTGCAGCAAATTCGAGTTACTCTTGGCTTCCGGGGCTGCTGCCGTGTTTCCCACCTTTCTCAACCTGTTCTGGGCCTTTACGTCGGCCACACCCCCCAAACGAGCCAACGTCAGTCAATCCTCCACCCGCCAAAACAAAATTAAACACCAAAAATTTCTAAAGAAGAGGGAACAATCATAAACGACGCCTTCCGATTGTGTGGCCGAGGGCGGACACTAGCACCCTATCCCGCCCCCGCACTGAGATTGAGAGCGGGAGAAACGAGAAAGAAAAGAAAGGAGAGAAAGGAGAGAAAGGGGGATACATACCTGCATCGGAACTGCTGGCTAGCGAACGGTGACAAATCGTGTCATCGTTGGTCCTGCCCAGTCGAGCCTGAAGATTTGCTCTCCCACGGCCTTTTTTTTTTTCTTTCTATTTTCCTTTTTTCCCCCCCGGCGTGTGAGGTTTCGCTTGAGGTGAGAGGCCCTGGACCCGTGTGCCCAACCCGATAACCCTTTTCTCTCGTGCTACGTTCATTCTCTCTCCACCCCTCTCCCTCTCTCTTCCCCTTGCTCGCGTTTTGACTTCTCGAATTGTGGTGACAAGGTAATAAGACGGCTGATGAAGAGGCTCTTCTTTCCCTGGCCATGGTACAGGTGTAGTAGTAGGTCTTACGCGGTTCATCATGTCCGATTACTACTCTCGAGATCTCCGTGACCCTCGGAGTCACACGGGTAACCAACGAGATGCTGCCTTCTCCGACATTTTTGGCTCCGCTCCTCCCCCGGGCCGCTCGCAGACCATGACTTCGTCGTCCATGCCGCCCCCTCCGATGCCTCCCATGCCGCAACAGGGTCAAGGGAGGACCCAGACCATGTCGTCCTCGTCCGCCATGCCACCACCCATGCAAAGGCAACCGCCGCCACGGCTCCCCCCTCAACCGCATATGGATCGAGAATCCTTATCGCCCAGGCTCCGGCCTATGATGGATGGCGGGGCACCGATCGCGTATCCCGGCCAGCGGTCTATATCGGGAGGATATCAAGTGCCGTCTCCTCAGGCCCAATATCTTCAGCAGCAACAGCAGCGCCGTGCCTACGGCCCAGCCCCTCCCCGGCCAGACTCCCGGGGCGCGCCACCGCAAGCTGCCGGGGCCCGAAGCCCAGCTCAACGTTTCCACCAAGGAGGACCGGGTCCGGCTATGGTGAACGACCCCTATCGGTCTCAGTCTCTCGCCTCGGTTCCAAGGCCGCATCACTATCAACCCCCTCCGAGTACGTATCAGCAGTACCAGCAGCCACCGTCAGCGTCAGCGTACGGCAACGTCCCGAGGCAACAGCCTCCCTACGGTCCCGGTCCCCATAGCTCGGCACGCACCACAGCGCAAGGGCGAGTTGTTCCCGAACGTCACGATGACCGATCCATGTCCATGACGGGCCACTACCCACCTGCCCGAGAGAACTCGCACCCTCATCAACAAAACACCTACCAGACCATGAGCGGACGGGTCATTCCCAACAGGAGAGTCCCAGCCGAACTTCCAGCTGGCTATAATGTCGGCGGCGGCTCCAATGGCTATGCGAGTGGAGGGTACCCGACACCGATGCCCGGCTCACAGACGAGAACGACCAGCATGGCCTCGTCGACCGGAGACGGCCAGCGGTCCATGTCCATGGCGTCGACGGTGACCGTCTCCACACCGACTATGGATTCGGACGTCACCACAGTGGCAAACAGGTCTTCCATCAGCAAGTCGGCCAAATCCATCGAGAGCGAACGTCCCCAGACCGCCAAAATACGTTCCCCCCTGGTATATCCTGCAATGCTCTCACGAGTAGCCGAGTGTTTCAGGCACAAGATCATTACCGGAGACCGGACGAAGAACGAGCTGACGTACAAAAACGCCTTCAGCGGAGCAGAGGCCGTGGACGTCCTGTCGTACATCATTCGGACTACGGACAGGAATCTCGCCCTCCTCCTCGGCCGCGCCCTGGATGCGCAAAAGTTCTTCCACGACGTCACGTACGAACACCGTCTGCGAGACTCGACGTCGGAGATGTACCAATTTCGCGAGACCCTAACAGATCAACCGGAGGAGAAGCCGGCTGTGAATGGCGTCTTTGTGCTCTTGTCGGAGTGTTACTCGCCGACATGCACACGCGACAACCTTTGTTACTCGATCGCATGCCCCCGGCGTCTGGAGCAAGTTTCTCGGCTGAATCTGAAGATGGGACCTGGTCTGAAGAAGGAGGACAGCGCCGTGGTGAACGAGGACGATGCCGACCAGACGGACGAGCAGAAGCTCTGGATTAATTCGGTGCCCCGCGAGATTGCAGACAAGGTGGACGACATGGAAAAGAAGAGACAAGAAGTCATCTCGGAGATCTGCTACACCGAGAGAGACTTCGTCAAGGACCTGGAGTATCTGCGCGACTTTTGGATTATCCCACTGCGATCCAAGGGTTCCCCCATTCCCGCCAACCGACGCGAGAAGGTTGTCAAGGCCATCTTCAGCAACATTATCGACCATCCCAGCCTGCATCTCGTAAGTTCACGATTCGCAAGGGCTTTGACCGAACGGCAGCAGAAAGACCCCGTGGTCGGCAATGTAGGCGACATCTTCCTCGAATTCGCCCCTCAGTTCGAGCCATTCATCTGGTACGGCTCTAAGCAGCTGGAGGCCAAGCACCAGTTCGAAAACGAGAAGGCGATCAATCCTTACTTTGCCAAGTTTGTGGACGAAATCGAGAGGCGGAAAGAGTCAAGAAAGCTGGAGCTGAACGGATACCTCACCAAGCCAACGACGCGGTTGGCGCGCTACCCGCTCCTACTCGAAGCCGTGCTCAAGCATACCGAGGAGAAGAACGCCGATAAGGAAGACATCCCCAAGGTGCTCATCACGATTCGCGACCTTCTCGGCAGGGTGAACCGCGAATCCGGCAAGGCCGAGAACAGGTTCTACCTCAGGAGGCTTCAGGAGCAGCTGCGGTTCCGACCTAACGAGAAGGTCGACCTCAAACTCACGGAGGACGGGCGTGAGATCATCTTCAAGAGCCAGCTGAAGAAGACGCCGCATGACTCGTCTTCCACCAACGAGATCACCTCCTATCTGTTCGACCACGCTGTTCTCCTCGTCAGAGTGAAGCAGGCTGGGAAGGCCGAGGAGGTGAAGGCGTACCGAAGAGTGAGCCAGAACCACCCTCCCCCGTCAAACACTTGTTGGTATGAGTGTGTCCCTCTCCTCCCAATGCTAACGAATTGGCGCTGCAGCCTATTCCACTCGAACTATTATCCATCAAGGAGATGGACGAAGTCATTCCCCAGAACGGAGCCAAGAGATCGTCGTCGGGCCTGTTGCCTTTGAACAATGTAAAGGAGAGCAAGAAGAGCGACGGCTGGCCCATTACGTTCCGTCACTTGGGCAAAGCCGGCTACGAACTGACACTCTACGCAGCCAACCAAGCCGGAAGGGAAAAGTGGCTGCAGTTCATTGACGATGCGCAGAAGCGGTTGCGAGCGCGAGCCGACTTCTTCAACACGACGGTCATTTCGTCTGGGCACTTCGCGGGCGCGAACCAGATCAACTGTGTCACCCCCTGCGACGGAGGACGCAAGCTCATCTACGGCACGGACACGGGCATCTTCGTTTCAGACCGGAAGAACAAGGACGCGTCGCCGAAACGGGTCATCGAGACGACACAGGTGCAACAGGTGGACGTGCTAGAGGAATACGGGCTGCTGCTGGTGCTGTCCAACAAGGCGGTGTACTCGTACCCGTTGTCGGCCCTGGACCCCAACGAGCCGGCGCTGTCGAAACGGCCCAAGAAGATCCAGAGCCACTGCAACTTCTTCAAGACGGGCATCTGCCTCGGCAGGCACTTGGTCTGCTGCGTCAAGTCGTCGGCGCTGTCGACGACCATCAAGGTGTACGAACCGACGGATGCTTTCTCCAAGGGAAAGAAGCAGAAGGGGTTCGGCAAGATGTTCTCGGGGCAGGATGAGCTCAAGCCGTTCAAGGAGTTCTACATCCCGACCGAGTCGTCGTCGGTGCATTTCCTTAAGAGCAAGTTGTGCGTGGCGTGCGCGCGCGGGTTCGAGGTGGTGTCTCTGGAGACGCTGGAGACGCAGTCGCTGCTCGACCAGGCCGACACGAGCCTCGACTTTGTCGCGCGCAAGGAGACGGTCAAGCCGATCCACATCGAGCGGCTGAACGGCGAGTTCCTGCTCAACTACTCCGAGTTCTCCTTCTTTGTTAACCGCAATGGATGGCGAGCGCGGCCCGAGTGGCGGATCGACTGGGAAGGCACGCCTCACAGCTTTGCGCTTAGTTACCCCTGGATCTTGGCGTTTGAACCCAACTTTATCGAGCTCAGGCACATTGAGAACGGCGCTGTACATATTGTGCCGCATAAGAACATTCGGATGCTCCACAGCAGCACACACGAGGCGAGTTCTCTCCTGGCTTTTATGTTGTGCGGAGATGGATGAAACAAGCTGACAAATTCTCTGTAGATTCTCTTCGCATACGAGGACGAGAAGGGAGGTGACACGGTGGAGGCATTGGATTTCTGGAAGAGCACAAGGCGGGCATCAGAGCTTCCCCCGCCTCCGGGGGCGATATGAGAAAGTCGATGTCCTCATCGGAAGCGCGCTCTGAGTGGGATGACGCAGGTCGCCAAGGTTCCCTTATCTGAGCGAAGCAGGGGCCTGCGACTTTGACTATCGAAAGACATCTCGGATAGGATAGATAGGATGGGTTTTAGAGGCAGTTCTTGCTCTCTCTCTCCCCCTCTCTCTCTCTCTCTATTCCCCCTCGGCTCCGTTTCCCCCCCCCTACACCTCTCTTTTATTGTTCTCCTGCGCTTTGTGTCTCTGGGAGCCGGGCAAACTCTTGTTTCTTCCTCTTTTACTTCTTGACTTTTTGTTGGTTTGGCCGCACCGGAAGCTTCTGCCGTCGTTATCAGGTCCGGGGACTAGAGACCGGAGACTGTTGTTAATTTCCCCCCCACTGAACACCTCTGAACACCGTAATGACATGACGGGGACCCTTAAGCTGAAGAGGGTCAGGGGGGTGAACATGGGAGAAGGAGCAGGAGCAGAAGCAGAGCGGAGCAGAGAAGGGGTAGAGAAGGGGTACCCAGAGAAGAGCGGGATCAGGGCAGAGAGCAGACGGCTGAAGGAGTATCTTGTCTTGAGGAATACACGGACTTTGATACCTACTTGATGATATATTCATAGAAGCTCGTTGCCCATGAGATAGGTGCCGCGGAGACATTATTGGCATTCCAAGTTCGTCTCTAGCCATGTGGTTATCCTTCGCCCGTCCCATAACCAACCCCAAGCCACGGCACGATGCGAGCGCGAGACTTGGCTGGCAGCAATACGGGGTGCTCAGCCACGAGCCAAGACGGTCCGGTGATGCCCTAGGCCTCGGAGGTTTCCCCTGCATTGGCTCACTTCTGGTGCCAACATAGGACAACAACATTCTATCCTGCTTTCCAACATCCTGACATGGCCAACGCCCATAGCTAACAATAGTAGGATAGGGATACAAGGGAATAAGGTATAAAAAAACGAATAGTTTTACATGGGAGTTATCACGATGAATGAGAGTGCTGAGAGAAGGTGAAAGGAAGAAGGGAAATGATGCGAAAGCCGCTATTCCTCGTTATTTGGGCTCGTCTTGCAGATGCCAGGCGAAAACGTTCCGGAACCTCTCTTTGCCATCGCCTAGCATGGTCTCACCATGGCAAGGCACAATGTTGACAAAGTCCCACTGGTTGATGCGCCTGATGCTGGCATTGAAGCTGGGGCGGTTACGGCGAGAGGCGACGTGCCAGTGGAAACGGCGGACCCAGGTCAAGTCACCTTCGGTGGTCTGAAGGGCGGTGAAAATGCGATCAGCGAGTCGTGAGGTCGAGCGCTGGTCCTCGGGGACGCGCGAGTACTGCTCGTGGGCGGGAAGGTTGAAGAGCAGATCGGCCTGGATGAGGGTGCGGTCCGGGCGGTGGAAGAAGGCGATCTCGCGGTTGGCATGGGCGTCGACGAATTCGTAGTCGAAGGCAGCGTCGAAGTCCGGGTCCACTTTGACGGACCGCTTCTTCGCCTCGTCGCCGAGGGGGAAGACGACGGCGAAAGGGTCGTCTTTGATGCGCGGGTCCGGGTTGTGCTGAGCGGCGGTCTTCGCTCGCTTCTCGGGGAGACCGGCAGGGCCGATGAGCTTGGCGCCGGGAAAAGCGGATTTCCATTCGGAAAGGAAGATGTGGTGCTCGAGGTCAGGGGCGACAATATGGGAGACGGTACCTCCCCGGGGTCCAGCCAATTCGTCAATCTTGGTTCGGACCTCGGGGGTCAAGGCGACGGGCGAGAAGACGGCGAGGTTGCCCGTAGGGAGACGAGCGAGGGTAGCACGTCCGCCGATCCGAATGGCGCCGGCACGGAGAAAGGGGACGGAGAGAGTGGTGAGGTTGGGGGTGAGATCACGGATGACCATCACGTCCGAAGGATTGGACGGGACGAGCTTGGACGACGCCATGGCCAAGGAAGAAGAGGAGAACGAGAATGATGAGGGTGACGAACGAACCGGATAATGGCAGACTAAAGGTAGCCCGGCGATGAAGGAGGGTTTCTGTCGGCGTATGGGGTAGGAAGTGGAAGTGGAAGCGTATAGAGACAACCCAGAGAGTCCGAGTCTTGAATTAGAAAATACTCGCATAGGACTTTGGAGAGCAAGCAAGCGATGTTGTGCTCATGAAAGCATCATGCATCGACAGAAGAAAATACCAGTCGATTAAGGTAGAAAGAGAGGTGTCTATGTAAGTCGGATGAGATGAGATGCAAAAGAAAGATGACAAGCAGGAAGTGTGGGTAGTTCAACACTGGTGTATTGGTACCTAAGGTATTGTGTATGACGATATAGAGCGGGATGACAAAGGAGCTTCTTTATTATAACTACATGTACCGGGATTTAGCGCAGTCGGAGAGCGTTGTATCATGGACATGGACCCTTCGCCGTCGCCGTCCTCGTGTAGCTTCTAAAGCTGTATCCGGTGTCCTCGGCAAGAACGATGGGGGTAGGAGCCAGGCTGTGTATCCGCATGTGGGTTTCAGGATGCTTCAAGTGCTCCTGTACTTTCCTCACTCGAATGACCAATATCTTGTATGCGGCAGGTATAAATCGAGTACTTCCTACCGAATATGAAAATATTTGCACTAAGAAACGGCATGGAGAGAAAGTGCGACCTCAAATGATCTTCTAGCTGGGTAGGACAACTAAAAAGAAAAAAAGAAAAAAAAAAAAGAAAAAAAAAAAAGATGACTTCACCACAATACAACGGTCCAGTGACGAGTACGGAGTATTAGTGCGGTTACTCTTTCATGGGACTTGTGATGACCGAGGACCTCGGACTGGGCCACGGTGAGCTTACGTGAGCACGGAATATGCACAAGAGCCAATTGAAACGCCAATTTCGGACCGACATTTAGGCCGAACTTCCGCTTTCGGGTGTCAACTTGTTCCGTCATCACCAACTTCATTCACTCTGCAGGTCCAAGCAGTCAAAATAATGCCTCCCTATTTCCATCGAAGAGACTTTAAAGACAACACACGAACTAGTATTGGGAATGAATCACGAGGTTAGGAACCAGAACGTCAAAAGTCCAAATCCATCAGAAAATTCACAAGACACCATGGCGCCGAACCTCAGTCTAAATACACGCATTCGCTCCTCCAGCTCCTTCAGCTCCTTCAGCTCCTCCAGCTCCTTCGCCCAACTCATGAACCCCCCGTACAGGCACCATGAACTACTCTTGTCTATGCCAGCTCTCCCAACGTACCTAATCTCGGCTTCTGTTGCACTGACGGGTGACATGCGAGCGCCGCCTACTCACCCGGCGACTACGACTCGTCCAGAATATCTCCTAGATCCTCCCGCGTCCACGACAGATCCGATAGGTGGTTCATCTGTATCAAGTCGGGCGGCGACCCTCCTGTGACCCCGTTGGCCGACATCCACAAATCCGCCAAATCCGCCAGCTTCTTGTAGTCCGCGTACGCCCGCATCCCGACGTACATGAGGTAGAACAGGACGATCTGCACCAGCAGGCCGGCCACGACCCACCAGGTGACCCTCGGCCACGACGCCCGTGGCTGCCGTGGCTGCCCTGGCAAATCCGCAAACCGTCCGCGTCGCGACATCCACCCCCTACAGACCATCAAAATACCCAAGAGCAGTGGTGGCAGAAGCCCCGCCTCGGAGACCGCCGTCGTGAGCAGCGCTGCCACTAGGCTCCAGCTCGTGAAGCCCGATGCCGCCATCTCCCCGGCGAACCGGGCCAGCTCGCTCACCGCACCCCACCTCAGTCCGTGCGGCGCGACCGTGCTTGGCTGACCCAGTCCCGCCTGTTGTTCGGAGGGAGTATCGTCACGTCCGAACCAGCCAGGGGTCGAACGAGCGCCAGCCTCTTCTTCGTCCTTGGAACCTGTGCCTGCGTCCGAAGTGGGTTCTTTCGTCTCGGTGTCATCGTCCGTGGGAAGCGACGGCATGATTGGTCCCCTAGGGCGGGGCCCCGTGGGCATGGCTTCGTGTGCTCGGGCTATGACTTCTAGCGCTCGGGCTATGACTTTGTGCGCCTGGGCCATGTCACTCCATGCTTTCGACTCGAGTCGTTCACCCTCGTCCGACTTGCTATTCGACTTCGGCTCCGCCCGCTTCTCCTTAGCCTCGTGGGACCTACTGTCGACCGTTTGGACTGATGGGCCAGCGGTTGGGAGCTCCTCTGGTCCGTCGCTGCCGAGTTGTTGCTTCAGCTTCGCGCTCCCGGCCTCCAGTGCTTGTTCGAACTCCCGGAGCTCTTCATCGGCCACGGTGGTCCCGTCTGCCGCCGGTTTCTGTTCGTCCTTCTGGCGCTGCTGCAGCAACTTGCGTTCGCCACTGAGTGCCTTTTCGGTCCGCCGCGTTTCCTCCTCGAGCTGCTTCTTCTCCCTCTTCAGAGACTCAACCTGACCAAGTGCCGATTTCATCTGCTTCTGCACCGATCCCAGTTCTCGACGCGCCTGGTCGCACTCCTCTCGAACCGCCTGGAGTTCCTGATCGTTCAGTCGCATATTATCCTTCTCCGCCGACTGCACCCTTCTCATGAGGTCCAGCTCAGTTTGCGAACGCGTCAAATCGTCCGTCTTCGCCTTCAACAGGGCCTCTAGTTCGTCCACCTTGCGTTGTACCCTGGCAATGTCTTTGGTGTCGTCAAATTCTCTTTGACCCCAGGTAGTCTCCTCACCGGACTTCGTCAGATCTTCGCTCCCTGCGTCGACCAGGCCATCTCTTTGCATGCTTTGGAGTCGATCGGCCGTCGACGTGGGCTTCCGCTCGCGTGCTTCTGGGATGTCGCCCTGTTGGAGACTGGCTTTACTCGCCAGTAGCGAATCTCTTTCGTTCTTGACCTCCTTCAGCTCTGCTTCGAGCGAACTGATTCTCTTCATGTGCTCGGGAAAGTCGTTCACAATGCCTGTAGTTCGAGGGCTCAGCGTATTGTTGGCGTCCTTTGTCGTGCTCTGAAGTTTAGCCAGCAACTTCCTAAGTCGCTCAATCTCTCGCCGCGCGGCTTCGACGGCGGCCGTGTCGCCGGAGTTGCTCTTCGTCACGGCACTCAGCTGATGCTCCAGGTCTGCAATCTTCTTCTTGAGCTTCTCCGTGTCGCCCGAAGCTCTCGCACGCTCCGCGTAGACGTCCAACTGCTGCTGCATTTCGCGCACTTGGCCGTTGAGCTGATCACGCTCTTGTCTGAGCTCCTCCACCTCGTCTTCGTCGGTGCTCGTCGAAAACGTTAGACTGCATAGCGTCTTCAATTCCTCCTCCTTTTCCTCCAAGCGAACCTCGAGCTCGCCGATTTGGTTCGTTAGACTTTCAATAATGGCCTGCTTCACCTCCATCTCTTTCGAAGTCGACTCTATGGTCTTCTCCATGTCTTCCGCATAACGGCGATGTTTAGTGTGGAGGTAGTCGAAGTCCATTTTGACCTCGTTCTCGTAAACACCATAGTCATGCAGCAGCTGTTCGAGTTCTTCCTCGGCCCTGTTGAGCCGCGTCTCAGCTACGTCGCGCAAGTTTGCAAGGACCTTCTGGTTTTGTTCCGCTTTTTGGAGCGCACGACGCAGCCGCCGTTCGTTGTTGGCATGGTCCAGGTGCTGCGAACTAACCTGGCCTTCCTGTTGCGCCTCTTGCTGGTATTGGTGTAGTTCTCGTCGAAGTTCTTCCATCTCTTTCTGTAGGCCGTTGAACTCCTTGTCCCGCTGGCTCGTCAGGTGCCTCAGTTCCTCATCCTTGTCGCGGACGCGTTCCCGGATGTTCTCCTCGAGCCGTTGCAGCTGGGATACGATTTCATGCGCGGAATTGCCGAACCTGGCCTCTCCTTCATCATTGGCCGGTTCCTTGCCCACTCGGTCCATGGCAGACTTCAAGTCCTTCCTGATAATGCCAAGCAGTCGCTCGAGCTGAATCTTCTCAGTGCGCGCCTTCGCAAGCTCTAATTCTCGCTCCTTGAGAGCTTTAACGAGCTTGGCTTTCTCCGCCTCCCGTTCTTTCCTAGCAGCCGCGAGCTCAGTCTCCAATTTCTTACACTCTGTCTTGAGTTTTGCAATGAGCACAACATTCCGTTCGCCCTTTTTCGTCTCTTCCTCAAGTCTGTCTCTTGTCCTGCTTAGGTCGCTGTCGAGGGTTCGGATGCGTTCTTTCAGCACTTGGGTTTCCCGCGCCTGTTTGTCCAGAGCCGCCTCGCGGCGCTCGCGGTATTCTTCCGACTCCTTCAGGCGCTGCTCCAAAACGGCCGTCGTCGCCATAATGCCGTCCATCTCTTCCCTGCGTTCGCCCTTCTTCCTGTCCAGGGCCTCGCGCATGTTTGCGATATCGACCTCGAGGTCGCTGATGCGTTTGCGTCGCTCTAAGTCTGTCTTTTCCCGCAGCTCGTCGTAGCGGGCCTTCAGGTACCCTGATGCCTGAAGTCTAGCGGCAGCGTCGTCGAGCTGTGCTTCGAGACGCTCGATGTGCTTGTTGATATTGGCAACAGTTGGATCTCCCACCAATGCTCGGAGCTGCCCGTCCATGCTCGCGAGATTGTTGTTCAGTTTGTCCATCTCCGCATCCTTGGCATTTATGTCGTCGCGAAGCGTCTTGAGTTCCCGCCGCAACTTGGGCTTCTTTTTCTCAACCGGGTTCGATTCTTGCAATTCAATCGCTCCGGAAAGGCAGTCCGCCTCGGCTTTCATCTCCTCCCTGTCGATATCGGCGCGTTCCAGCCTCTCCAGCTTCTCTCTGGCCTGCTTCAGAAGCTCGAGTTGGTCCGTCAGCTCTCCCACCTTTGTTTTGAGGTCCATATGAGCTTCAGGCTTCTCCCCTGCTTTCTGCAGCCGATCGAGCTCCTTCTGCAGCTCCTCGACGGTCTGGGCCTCTCTCTTCTTCTCCGCCAGCTCGTCCTGCAGGCATTTCAAGAGCCTTGCACGCTCAGCCTCCAACACATCCAGTCGCCGCAGCTGAGATGCCGGGCCCTCGCCCATGGATTCCATCTTGATCCTGTCGGCTTGTGGAAGACCGGAGCCGCTGGCGGCGATTGTCTGGTCCCGCACGACACCGATCAGACGCTCTGTCTCCTGGATGTCCGCATCCGGCCCGTCGCGGAGCGTCGAAATGATGGCGCGCAACGTCTTGACCGTCTTGTTCGCCAGCCCTATGTGCTGCTTGACGTGCTCTTCGACCTGGGCCACCTCCTTCTTCTTGGCTTCCAATTCCTCCTCTAGCCTGGCAGCAGCCTTCATGCTTTCTTCTCTCTGCTTTTCGGCTATCGTCTTCTGGCCCAGGATGTCGCGGCGGTCCTTGTTGGCTTTGGCCAGTTCCTTTTCGATTGCGACCACATCGGGTTCTTCGTTCTTGTTCAGCTTTTTGAGGCTCGCGAGATTGTGCTGGGCTTCTGCAAGCTTCTCTTCCAGATCGGCGATCTGCTTATCCTTCGCATCCACCTCGGCTTGGGTGGCCTGTGACGATTTTCCGCTACCCCGGAGCCAACGCACGGCCGATCCGATGGTGCTTTGCTGCTGCTGCTGCTGTTTCTCCTGCTGCTGCTTCTCCTGCACCTCACGCCGCATCTGATCCTCCGGCTTGTCCCCGGCCAGAGTGTCGAGGCGCCCTCGAATGCGGCCTATGGTCCCAACAATCTCGTTCTTCTTCTCGGTCAGCTCCGCGACCTTGGCGTCCATGTCCTGAGCTCGCGCGCGGGTGACTGGGGCGATGGGGTCAGGACCGGGTAGGCGGCGGGTTTTGGCCCTCTCTTGGCGCGCCCTGAGTTTTGTCAACTCGGAGTCGACGCTCGCCACTTCTCGCGTCCACCTCTGAAGATTCCCCTCGAGGCGATCCATCTCGTTTTCGGGTTTTGAAATATATGCTCTCACTGTTTCGATGTCGGCCTCGAGCCTCCGGATCCCCTGGTTTGCCTCTTCCAGTTGTTTCGAGACCGTGGCGTAGGCCTCGTGGCTATCGGCGATCTTGCGTTTTAGCTTGGCCGTCTCTTCGTAATTTTCCTCCAATTTGGTCTTGAGCTTTGCTTGGGTGCGGATTCCGAGCTCGATCTCGTCTCGGCATTTCGCAATGGTAGCTTTTTGTGCGTCTAGCCGCTTACCCGCCTTCTTAAGGCTCATATTCGCCATGTCGAGCTTCGTTTTAAAAAATTCTGCACGGTCTTTTGCAGTCTTGCGGGAGTACTCGAGCTTGGAAAGTTGTTTCTTCCACGACTCGTGAAGTGCGGCAATCTTCTCGTGGGCTTTCCTCAGCTGCTCCTCACAGTCACCGTCGCAGTCCCTTTGTTTGGAAAGTTGCTCGTGAAGCCGTTCAATCTCTTGCTGGGCTTTCCTGAGCTTTTGTGGACAGTCACCGTCGCCGCCGCAATCGCAACCTCTTGCCTAAACCGCCCCGTTAATGTTAGTATCCGGACATAGACAAAGGGGCCACGCATTTCCGTCCCTCTTCACTCCCGGTAGATAGTGTAGGATTGTCTTACGTCTTTGTCGGTCTCATTGCTTTCGTTTTGCGGCCTTTTCAGCTCATTCTGCCACCTTTCTTTTTGTTTCCGCGCATGCTCTCCGAGGTCCTCGTTAGAGTCGTCCTCAGATGGATCGTATTCCTTCACGAAGGTGTAAGGCTTCGAGTTCTGGTCCTGCTGGACAAAGTCGTTCAGGAATTCTGCCTGTTGCTCAATGCCGGCCCTGGCCATTTCGGTAGCAGTGACGACGGTGGCGAGGGCGGATCTGCCGTTGTCAAATATCTCATCGTTGATCTCCTGCCGCACGAAGTGCTCCAGGAGGATGTCATAGTCTTCCCTGGAAATGGTCGGCCTCTCGTCGAAACCGCCGTCGGAGAAGCGGGACGCCAAGGATGCGGAGCGCTGACGGTAGCGAGTCCCGGCCGTGGCTTCGGATCCTGCCCCTGAGCCCGGACTTGGTATCAGCGGCGAAGACTTCTTCGAGGATTCGGGTTGCGATGACCCCATCCCAGATAGCCCGCCTCCGGTTCTGGGGGTCTTGGCCCAGGAAGGAGCCTGGTCGAGGTTCAAGTTGCCGAACCGAGTCGCCTGGAGTGCATCATACTTTTCTTGGAGCTCGCTCAATTTGGCGGTCTCTGCTTCGCAAAACTTTTCGGTTCTGCTTAAGTCCTCTCCGTAGGCTTCGATCTCATTTCGCGCTCGTGCCAGATCCGTCTTCAGAATCTCGTTCTCTCCTTCGGCGGTCTCCAGCTTCGTCTTGAGAATTTCCATCTCATGGTTCTCCTCTGTCATAACGGACTCGAAAACCTCCTATATTTGGGGTGTTATTACACAAAGTCCCCGGAAAACGGAGAATCTTAGTAGGTAGATCAACTACTCACCTCTTGCGTCTCAGATCTGGGAGACTCGCCCCGACTTTGCTCCAACAACTGCCTCGTCACATGCTGCTCCCCTGGATTGATGGACGGGACATTGAGATTCCGCCGCGCTCGAGCCTTGGCCTTCTTGGTCTGTTCGAGCTGCTTCTCGAGGGTCTTGACCTCGCTCTCTTTCAGGTCCTTCCGGCGTACCTCATCTTCCAGTTGGCGGCGAACACCGTAGAGCTCTTTCTCGATCTTCTCCCGCCGCTTTCGTTCGCCTTGGAACGCCGTGACGAGGTCCCGGAGGGTAGGGAACCCGCCGAACATGCCGCCGTGAAGCGCCGCATGGGAAGCCGCACTCGTGGCCCGGCTTATCAAGCTCATGGGCCGACTGGGCGGCCGAGTAGATGGCTCTCGCGGCAGGTTGTGGAAAGAAGAGGTGTCGGTCCTTCGCTTGGGAGGTTTGCCTTCTTGCAAGAGCTCGGCTGGGGATGGCCCTTTGGCTGGAGATGACTGGCTTCCGTGTTTTGCTGACGCGTTAAGGCTGGGAGGGGGAGGGATGGTGATGTCGGCCGGTCGGTGGCCGGAGCGAGAGAGGTCGGATTGCGACCTCTCTCCGCCTTGCGGCTCTTGCGGCTCTTCTGGGGTGGAATCCCCTGGGGGAGTTTTATGGCCACTTGCCCCAGCGTCGGCCTCCGAGGTAGTCTCGGGTCCGTGGTCCCTAGTCTCTTCGTCCTTGGGATCCTCCGATGCCATCATGGGGTTCGGGTTTTCTTCTCCTGTTGAGGTGAGTCTGCGAGGAGATCGGAGAGACTTACACAGCAGGAAAGGAGTTGGACACTATATGCATGCAGGTGAGACAAATCACTAACAGGCAGCACGACAGTTATTTTGATGGCTGATGGCTATCTTTTCAAGGCAACGACACAGAGAGAAAAAGAACGGAGGAGAAGGAAGAAAAAGGGGGAGAGGTTGACCAGGCAGACGAAGCAGTGAGCTCGGTACCTGCGCCCATCCTTTTCAACAACACTCGTAGTCGTTGAACTCAACAAAGAAATATCAATGTGAAGGACTCGAACGTTGATTGAGATGCTTGTCAGGGGTGGTGGGCTGACTCTGTGTGTCGCGAAATAAAGCACAAGGGCGATGCAGTGAACAAAGAAAAGAAGACACGGCCTCCCTCGGTTGCTCCATTAATGGGCTCAGCATCATGCCGGCCAGGAATGCAATCGGTTCCTTGTTCGTCTTCTATTTTCTTTTCTTCGTTTGATCCGTGCCTCTCACTGAAAGAACGGGAATTAGGGATGCTTCGAGTTTTCTTTGACCAGGTGAGGGCATGGCATGCAACTGCCAAGATGAAAATGGATTGTACGAAGAGGTTCGCCTGGTTTTCCGGATGCGGAGTTAAGGGTAAGGGGGAGGAAAGGGAGAACAAGAAACAAAGACGACGCGAACAAAGGAAGGGGCCGGAAGAGGAGGGTCTCGACGATGTGCTCGTATTAGATTGACAAGGTGGGTAAGACAATGCCCGCGATTTAGACTGTCGCATCGTAAATAGGACAAGCCGGCGCAGTTGATAGCATGAGTCGGGAGGATGGGGTCGCCGACTGACTGACTGAAAGGTCGAGGGCCTATTGTCTCCGGGGGTCAAGTTGGATAGACGCAGATGGCCTCGTTCAAGCCTAGAAACTTGGGGTGAGTTAATGAGTGGCCGAAAAGTGCAGAAGTAAGCAGAGACCGTTAAGTCGAGGTCATCCCGAGCGAGATTGACAGTGAGAGTGAAAACAATGGAGGGAATAACAGCCAGCAAGCTGTCATTCGTCTCTTCCAATCCGTTTCCCATTTCATTCGTCTTAGATAGGTTTCCACCACAACCATGACATCCAAAGACATCTCAAGCTGATATTGTCACAAGCTGTACCCGCGTCCTCAGAAAGACGAGAAGGACATCAAAAAGGTATCATCGAAAACACCAAAGCGCCGATACGCATGACAGATATGTATCACACAAGGACCAACCAACGCCGCACCGTCCTTATTCCGGGTCGTCCTAGCTATACCAACCTCTCGCGCCGGGTCCAGATTGTTGTGCTTCTTTCCGATGTTCTATCATGGGTTCTCTAATGTCGAATGTGTCTATGATGTCTTGCCAAGTTTTCATGTCCATGGCGAAGATAGCCTGGTGCTTTGCGGTCTCGCTCGGCCTCGTGGGATTATTTGTTGTGTCTCCTCTGTCCACCGGACCTGGTAATGGTGTCAGCAGGGGGGCATGTGTAAATATAGGGAGGGAAGGAAGAAAAAAGAAAAAAGGAAAAACAAAAACCGACTCAAAGAAGGAAGTTCGTTCTCGTCAAACTCAACAGCTACACGGCCGTCCCGAATGAGGAAGCTGACATAGAACATGTTCTCAACAGTCTGACCAAATGACTTCGGATTCACGACGAAGCGCAGCAGATCCACGCCGCCGGTGTCGCGGAGTCCGTGGCGATCCATGAGGCGGGCCTGTTCCTCGGGATCCATATCCGGGTTTCGCTCGAAGATGTCCTGCAGGGTGGCCTGGGCCCGGGCCTGGACGTCGCGGAGCTGTTTGAGAATGCGGGCGCATACGGCGGTGAGGTCGTTCTCGGTTTTGGCGAGAGCTTCGACGTCGAGCACTTCCGGTCGCGTCTCGGCTAGGTCTTCGCGGCGTAGTGGCGCGGTTCGTTTGACGAATTTGCGGACCTTCTTCTCCGAAGATAGCGGGCCGACGAGGAACCCCGTCAGGGCGGGGCGCCGAGTGTGGGGGAGACAGGCGTAGCGGCCCAGGTGAGGCCAGTTGAGGGTTTCGTCGTTTTCGTCGTCGTCGGCGTCGTCGTTGACGCCTAGGGCCCCGCCAGACTGGCCCCTCGTGGTGGTGCGACGGCGATGACGCTGCGTGCTGGAAAGGCTGGGGGCGTCGTCCTCGACTATGCCGCCGCCCTGACGCATGTAGGTGATGCACTTGGAGACGAACTCGTCCGCGTCGACGCCCTGTGCGGCGCTGCCCTGGACAAGACGAAGGGTTTTGCGGTAGGACAGGTCAACGACGGTGGTGAGAAGGTTAGAATCGATGGCGGCTTCGTTGGTCTGCTTTACATCGCGTGAAAGCTCGTTGGCTTGCAGGAGGGCCTCCTGCAGACCCTTCGAGTTTGGCTGCATGTATTCCTCCATGTTCTCGGCGACGTCCTTTTGCAGGTTGCGGAAGGCCCGCTGAAGACGCCGCCTCTCCTCCATGGATTGGTCGGGGTCGTATTCGTCCGACATGCCCTCATGATCTAAGTCCGGGCCCGCCTCTTGTGTACGTCTCCGGGAAGATGTTGCGCCATTCGTCGAACCTGCCGTCAGGGCACGTTTCCGTTTGCTGCTGTTTCCATCTCGGATGGCGAGGGAGCGCTGCTCGGGCGCTGGACTGCCGCCATCGCTTGACGCCGATTCGGATGGCGGCGAAGAGGAACAATCCCCGGCAGGCATCGTGGGCAAACCAGTCCTTTGGGATAAGTCGCAATAAAGTCGGATTTGCAGAGAGATTGGCTGGTGGATTTTGGTGCACGAAAGACCGGATTGACTGGATAGGCAGACTTTGCTGATGAAGATTCAGAGGAAAGAAGCAAGAGTTCCAGTTCCCAAAGAGAAACGAATGAAGTAACGGGTTGGTTCGGGTCTAGTGGTTGGTCTCCATGTGGGTTGCTCTTTCCTTTGTCGCGTCGAAAGATTGATGGGACGCGACTTCCCTCCAGTATAGGTAAGGTAATTACAAAGTTAAGGCTTTGGTGGGGTAGGTATCTCCCGTACTCCGTAGTAATCATCCGTACTTTGTACATGTATGTACCTGGACCCACGTCTCCCTGACGTTCTTGGGATGAAAGCGCCAAGGCTTATCTTATCGACGACCCCAAAATCCAAAGCATGACGCGGGGAGCTGCAAGAAGATCCTCGAAGGTAAGGTACCTACCTAAGGTACGGAGGTACGTATCGTTCCACCTGGCATATCCATCGCCATCCCGTAAACGGTCATTCAATTCTTACTTCTTCTTACACCTCCTTGCCAGACTCACTTGGGCTCTCCAGATAAAGCATTGTCATCCCCGGCGGCTCCCGACCATGGAACCCTTCTCCTTCGCCACCTCAGAGTCGCTACATCACCCCGTCAGTATCCGCATGTACGAATACCCATTCCGCCCGCCCCGTCCCCCCCTATCGCGAAATGTGTCCATATCGAAAGAAAAGAAGGGGGGAAAAGAAGAAAGAAAAAGAGAAAGAAAAAGAGAAACAACGGTCCAACATGAATCGCTGATACCATCTCCGTAGAATAAACTTAGAAGGCGACGAACCTCCTTTACCACCATCTACCCAGTTCGAAAACGCAGAGCTTCGACATGTCGGCTCTAACTCGAGGTGGGATGCCTCCTTGATATTAGTCCCGTCTCCTCGTCCACACTCCTAGCCACTCGCTAACCCGGCATGTAGTCCGCACTCGGATCTCTATGTAACGGCCCAGGTGTGGGCAGGCTCCAAGCCTCTGACAGTTCCGGTCCAGACAGCATACAAGTCGTTTCGCACAGAACGGAGGTCAGATTGCCATCCCACTTGACATGCTCCTTGCTGGTCGCACTCGCGGCTTCGACTGACCATTGGCATTTCAGATGGAACGAATGGCTCACGCTCCCAATCAATTATTCTGCCCTCCCACTCAACTCCTGTCTCGCCATTACTCTATGGGATTCGTCTCCTGCCGGGGGAAAGGACGCCGAAGGCCTCGCCATCCCCTTTGGAGGCACCACCTTGCCCCTGTTCGACCGAGACAACCAGGTTCAGAAAGGACGTCAGAAATGCCACGTCCACAGACGCAAAATCGCCGACGGTCACGATAAAACCACGACACCAGCGGTCATAAGGAGAAGAACAAGGAGTCATGGGAAGAGAGGCGAACAAGCACCTCTCGGTAAGGATGCCGAAGAGATGGAAAGACTGGAGGGCCTTTTCAAGAAACACGAAATGGGGGAGATTCCCCGCGTCGACTGGCTGGACCAGCTCGTCTTCAGGACTGTCGAGAGGCGCGGCCTACAATCAGCCAAAGGATCCCATCGGACCTTACAACGCCGCCAGGGCGCCCAAGACTCCGCCGCAGAGAAGGACGGGGCAAACGGCGGATCCCCGGACCCGGAGTCCTATCATCGGTCACTATATCAACTCAACGTCGAGCTGCCTCGGTTCGACTTCCCCGTCGTCTTCGCAGACTTGGAATACCCGCCACCTCCCATCTCGTCGCTTCAGAACATGTCTGGTTCCCAGTCCAACGTGGCCCTCAAACCCCCACCAGAAGTCCAGTTTGGCCCCGGGATCAACAGCCTTGACAACTCTTCGGCCGGCTTCGGGAGCCGTCTGGTAAAAGTGTACGACCCTGAGGTAGGGGCGAAAGACAACCCGGCAGAGGCGAAACACCGCCGACTGGTGCGCAGCCAGCATCGTCACGGTGTCTTGGATAAGGACCTCAAACCCAATGCCAAGGTCCGGGACGAGCTGAACGTCATCATGTCTTATTCGCCAAACCATATCCTGAACACAGAGGAGAAGGACCTCGTCTGGAAATTCCGGTATCATCTCACGCGGGACAAGAGAGCTGTCACCAAGTTCGTCAAGTCCGTCAACTGGCACGACCCTAGCGAACGTAAGCAGGCCGAGCAGGTCTTGGCCCGGTGGACGGAGATCGACGTCGACGACGCCCTCGAACTTTTAGGCCCTACCTTTGACAGCCAGGTTGTCCGAGCTTACGCCGTCGAACGCTTGCGCAAGGCCGACGACCATGAGCTTCTGCTCTACCTACTTCAGCTGGTCCAGGCGCTCAAGTACGAGCACATATCCCCCGATTCGACTCAAGATGCCACTCGGGATTCCTCGCTGGCCAGGTTCTTGATAGCGCGCGCCGCCGCAAACTTTACTCTGGGGAACTATTTTCACTGGTACCTGATGGTCGAGTGCGACGACAACAGCCCCGAACAGGGGACCCAGAACCGTGAGATGTACCGGAAAGTCGCGTACGACTTCATGACCGAACTGGTCAAGCAGCCGGACGGTGCCGAGACGAGAGGGACGCTTCTCCGCCAAGCAGAGCTCATTGCCATCCTGTCCAGGATTTCAGGCGAAGTGAAGCTGTCCCACGAGAGCATCCCTAAGAAGACAGAACGGGTCAAGCGTTTCCTCGCGGATCCCAAGAACGAGGTGGCTACCATCGACCCACCACTACCCTTGCCCCTTGACCCGTCTGTCCATGTCATCGGCGTCTCGCCCGACGAGACGACGGTGTTCAAATCATCGCTCTGTCCGATCAAGGTCACGTTCCGCACTACCCAAGGCACGACGTACCCCATCATATTCAAGACGGGTGACGACCTGCGTCAGGATCAGCTGGTCATCCAGATAATAACGCTCATGGATCAACTCCTCCAAAAAGAGAACCTCGATCTGAAGCTCTCTCCTTACAAGATCCTGGCGACGAGCACGACAGCCGGAGCCTCCCAGTTCGTCCCCTCTGTTAGCTTCCAAAGCATCCCCTCTGCCCTGGCCTACCTCAAGTCCCATAGTCCCGACAGCCGCCAGCCACTGGGGTTGCGGCAAGAGACGCTCGACACGTACGTCAAGTCTTGCGCCGGATACTGCGTCATCACGTACATCCTCGGCGTCGGCGACCGCCACCTCGACAACCTGCTCCTGGCCCCCGACGGCCACTTCTTCCACGCCGACTTTGGTTTCATTCTGGGCCGCGACCCCAAGCCCTTCGCGCCCGTGATGAAGCTGTCAAAGGAAATGGTCGACTGCATGGGGGGCGTCAACTCGGAGCACTTCAAGATGTTCAAGCAGTACTGCTTCTTAGCATACGCCGCGCTGCGCAAGTCGTCCAACCTCATCCTTAACCTGTTTAGCCTCATGGTTGACGCCAACATCCCCGACATCCGCTTCGAGCCCGACAAAGCGGTGCTGAAAGTACGAGAGAGGTTTCACTTGGAGTTGAACGAGGAAGATGCTATGCTGTACTTTGACCGCGTTATCGAGGATGCTCTTGGTGCCATTGCCCCCGTGGTCATCGATAAGCTCCATGAATTGGTACAGGCCTTCCGGGCTTGAGAGGTGGAGTGGCAAAAGGGGGGGGAGGCAGCGGTGTTTCGGGGGGTTTCCTGGGTGGGAATATATTTTGGGTTGCAAGCGATAGTCTCGCCTGGTTATAGCGTTGTGGACCGTCTAGTCCAGGCTGACGGCGTTGGGGTTATGGGGAGCTACCATTGAGCAGGATGTTTCATAAGTAACGCCTAACTCCTTGGCCGAATAATGATTACATTGTTTATGCGCGCTCCTCATTCTCTTTAGGCTCAGATACGAGGATCCGGAAACTTGACAGAAAATGAAATGGATACAAGTAAAGACGGAAAAATGGTATGGATCCTTTGTTTGCCCTTTACATCAGTATTTTGGATATATTCAAGAAAAGAAGAAAGCCCCCCCCCCAACAACTTGAACTGGTTCGTGATTGTACAGCTAGGTCATCTCAGGTCTCCCCGAAAACAAACACTCCCTTGCCCTTCCTGAAACCACCCAAGGCGCCGGAGACGGCGTCCTTGAGGGTCTTCTCCTCGGTTTCCCAAGACCAGGGGACCTCATCGAAGGGTACGTCTCGGAAGCGGCCGTCGCGGATCATCTGCAGGAGGTCCTGGATGGCGAACCTGCGGGCTTCCGGGTCGCGCTCGTTCCAGCGGGTGAGCCAGAAGCCGAGGAAGCGGAGATCCTTGAAGATGAGCAGGCCGGTGGGGAGGTTGACGGGCTGGCGGGACATGGCGCCATAGGAGACGAGGGTGCCGCTGGGGGCGAGCGAGCGGGCGAGGGCGGTGGCGTTCTTGCCGCCCACGCAGTTGAGGGCGAGGCCGAGGGGTTCGCGCCCCCCGCGGGTGATCTCGGCGAGGCGGTCGCGCCATGCGCGGCTCAGGAGCTCCGATTCGGCGACGACGACGTCGGCGCCCAGGTCCGTCAGCTCGGCGCGCAGGGCGTCGGTGGCTTCCGGGGTGTCGCGGTCGCGGATGACGTTGATGCTGCGGAGGCCCCAGAGACGGCCGAGTTGGATCGCGGCGCGGCCTACGCCCGAGTTGGCGCCGTTTTGGATGAACCAGGCGCCGCTTCCGGGTTCGAGGGGTCGCATGGCGCCCACCGGCGGGGTGTTGGTGCTGTTGCTGGCGCTGCCGGCGCGGATGGGCTCGCCGGGGCCGTACGACCGGAGAATGCGGTAGGCGGTGCACGGGTTCACGCTGACGGTGGCGGCTTGGATTGGGGTCAGGTTGGACTTGTCGATGCGGAGCACATGGCTCGCGTCGGCTACGGCGTGCGTGCGCCAGGTGCCAAAGGAGGAGGCGGCGGGGAGGACCCAGTCGCCCCTCTTGAAGGGAAGGTCGGGGGACCCAACGGCCGCTACCTCGAAGAGGCCTTCATTGCCCGGGATGGCGGAGGGTTCAGTGGTGCCGATGAGGGATGTGAACGGAGGTTTGGCGCCGTAGGTCCCCTGGATGGTGTTGATATCTGCGGGGTTGATCGGCGCGGCGAGAGTGCGGAGGAGGAGGGAGCCGGACGGGAGAGAAGGGGAGATGGAGTGGGTATGTAGTCTAGCAAGATTGGACTCGGTCAGTTTATGTAGAGCTAGCTCTCGCATCCACAGCAAAAACCCTGGAGCCCGCGAGGCGGACGTGGTTCGGGGGTCGGGTGTTCCTCTGTCTTGTTTTTCTCGAGATGGGAAATGGGGACGTACTGAAGGACATCAGCAGGCTCTCCCTCCTTGGAGAATACAAGTGCTTTGGCTTGCGTGTAGCCGTACGGTCCGGATTTATGGCGTACCCTCGTTTTCGGGGTCACGATGTGGCCTGCACATGCTGACGGCGAGAGGCTTGAGGGCATGGGACGCCGCAGCACCGAAGCGAGCGGCCCCAACCTCGCTGTCCGTACGCCGGGCATATCACCTCGAATTTGCGGAGAAAAGAAACACAATGAAAGGAGTGTCCGAGAAGAAAACAACGAAAAGTGGTTGGTTCTGACAGATGAGGAATGCTGGTGCGCTCCTGGAGAGAAGCTTCAATTGAGAGCACGATGATTCGTGGTTGACCCTGTGGTTCGTGAGAAGCTCAATTGAGGTGATGGCTCCATGACGTCGGTCGTCGGTCCAGCTTTGCCGACACGGGGAACGGGGTTATTTCCGTTCAATCTGGATGACATAAGCAAGATCTCTGTAAACGAAGTTCGACGTTAGTAATCCGAAAATACTCCGTACCTAGAGAGACCACCGCCCCGAGTTTTGGGAGTCTTTGCGTCCCAACTACTCGGTCAGTCAAAACGATATAACAAGAGGATTACGAGAACCCATACACCTTTTAAGGAAGAAGAGTATTGACAGCGGTAAAGGGTAAGGTCTCGGGATTCGGGTTGAACCCAAGGTCAAGTTAGTACGACGCGTATGCCCATGAAAAAAATAAAAAAATTTCAAGAAAAGAGACATAAGCAAAGAAAACCATGGAGGATCCTCCGGAACTTGGGGCAAGGCATTAATAGACAGAGGTAGTTTGCACATTTTGCGGACAGATAGATCTCTGTAAATTCTTCCATTAGAACCCGGGCTCTATAACACACAAAGCACCATGTAGTCCAAGTCGAAGGATTCCCGTGAAATAGCCCGAATATGAAGCCAAGGGCGCTATGCTTTCCAACCCGTTTTTTTTGCTTGTAATCTTCAGTCTTCCCCACTCTTTCCTTATTTCCATATTAAGATTTTGTTTCCTTCTTCTCATACCACCTCGGCCGAAATGATTTACATCAAGAAAAGGAGGGAAGAAGGCGTGTAAGATCAAAGAATGTGGCATCCGATCCGCTGTCGATGGAAAGTTGAGTTGATCTGGAGCGTCGTGTCGACTGGGTAAGCGTAGTGCCGGTAGAGAGGAGAAATACCCCTTCCCTTCCCTGTCTCCTCAAAAAAGAACAGAAGGGAAGAAACGAAAGAGCGCGGGTTGGGGCGGCTGGCTGAGTTGAACGGAATCGAAATAGAAAGGGTTGTGAGCTAGAATCGGGCGATGGGTGGGTGTTGAAGGGGGCGGGGGGGGTATCTTGGATCTCTCGCAGCCTTTAGCGTTCTTCTGTTGAGTTGGTGTAGGAAGGCTCGTATTTCTCCTTCCTCTTCTCTTCAGCCTTGCTCCTTTTCTGCATCCGAAGCCTCGTCTCCAAAAGAAAATGTGGTTCCGAGTAAGACACCGCAGGATTATGAGAATTGCCGTTTGGCAGGCGCGTTCGGTCGCATTCGTCGTTCGCTCGTCCACGCGTGGATGCTAGATGGGGGACACAAAAAAATCGAAAATAAACCCGTCGAAAGAGGAAAATGCATGTTGAGCAGAAAAATCACGTGTGTTGCTGAAAGCTAGGAAGGAGGATGAGGGCGTTGTAGAGTAGAGGTTCGGGCGGGCGGCAAACAAACATGGCCAACCCATCTTTGTTGTTGTTGTTGTTCGTGGGGCGACGAAAAATCGAAACAGGAGGGAAGATAGAAAAAACTAGAATTAGAAACAGAAGAAAACCGAGGCGCAAAGACGGAAAACCCGCTTTACTTGATATCTTTGAACAGATCGTCGCCGAGACTGCCGCTGTCGTTGACATCCAGCTTTGACTGGAGAGCGCTCAGCTCGGGGATCATGGGAGCCGGCGGGCCGCGAATCTCGGGCTTGCTCTGGCTCCTGGCGGGGTCCTCGTAGACGGTGCTGCTCCGTTTCGCCGCGTCGCCGGTCCTCAGCCTCCGGAAGAAGCCGCTGCTCCTCTTCGCCTTCTTCTCGTCGAGGACGCTCCCGTCGCTGCGGCTGACGGGGCGACCGCCGCCGCCGTTGGTGGATTGTGTCTCGCTTTCTGCGTAGGAATGGTTCAGTAAACTGGTGCTGAGGAAACGGCGTATGCTGCCTGCTCGGCTGGAGGGTGCTGGGGAGAGAGGCGGGGCCTCGTCAGCTTGTCGTTCCGTACCGGAAACTGATGACCCGTTGGCGGCTTGAGAACCGCCCGTCGCGCCATTGGCCTTGTTATTGTCCTTTGCCGCGTCGCCTTGCTTCTTGCCCGCGGCGGTAGGGGTCTTCGGCAGCGTTGGTACCTTCTCGACGGGGCTTTCGGGAGGAGGGGGGATGTCGGTGCCGTCGGTAAGGGAGGAGAAGTCGAAGTTGAGCTTGGGGAGCTCGAACCGCTTGGCTGAAGTTGATTTGTCTGTGGTTGACGCCATTATGTGCTCTCTCTCTCTATATCTGTCTCTTTTTTACTTTTTCTTTTTTTCTTCTTTCCTCCGAATTGAGCGGGCCCAAGCTATCAGTGGGATCTGATAGGGAAGGATGCGGTGGCGTTCGTGAATGCGATTGACGGGAGGAGAGGTTCGGGAGAGCTAAGTTTTCGGATGGTTGGTGGAGTGAAGGTGGAGGCGATGCAAGGGGGATTCGAAGTAACTTCGTAATTATGAACAAGGTACGGTAGGTAGGTACGGATAGGCACGAATAGGTACGAATAGGTACGAATATGTACGAAAGGTAAGGTAGGTAGGTAGGACAGAACCGGGTCTGAGCGCACCAGCGGAAGTTGTCCGAATGGCCGGGACGAGGATGAGAACGGGCGAATTGACCGCAGCGGCTGTTGTGAAAATGCGGTTGTAGAAGAAGCTTCGACGGACCGAAAAGGACCCCTACAAGCACTCGGGGAGAAACAGAGGAAATGTACGTTGTATCCGTAGTGGTCGAAAGGTGGGAAACAAAAAGAGGCGTTTGTTTCGTTTCGTTTCGAAAAATTGGCCGTTGGAAAAGGTCCGAGCGATAGGGTCTTGGGACGTTTCTGGTTAGGACGGTGTCTAAAGATGGGACGGACGAGAAGATGCTGACAGGGGCAGTGGAAACGACCTAATAAGCACCCGAAGGAGAGAGAGAATACCTAACAGCAGTGCTTTGAGGATATGGTATTGTGTATTATTGAGACTTATTGGGGGGCCGCTGCCAACAAACCGCAGTGAAACACAATTTCAGCAACAACGAATCAGACGAGTACTGTATCTCACTGTCACTAGTCGATGGGTGAATATGGAATCCTTTGCAGCTGGAAAAGAGCAAAGGCAATCCAATGGCCTCTTGTTCGGTCCCCAGGTTTCAATTCTCGTGGCGAGGGCCCATGGACGATGACGAGCGCTTGAGAGGGCAGTGAGTACAGGGATGTTTTTTGTTTATTCAGGTATCCCTTTGTTCTTTTGTTGCAGGAAACTGGAGAATGGAACCACGGACAGGAATCATGGAGAATTGAGGGGTCTCGTGTTGTTCTTAACAAAAGGTGTTTTCTTGGGAAATGGGTACACGTAAAGGTCATTTATTAGTTTTCTTTTGGTGGGGGACAAGGGGGGGTGAGACAACTGGGGTATTACACTAAGGTAGTACGGCATGCCGTATATCCACTGTCGCTGTCGCGTCTACATGACCGGGACTTTGCCAGATGATAGCGACGCGTAAGGCCTCATTGTAGCAATGGGGTCAATCTACCAAAGGTAGGGAGACGTGAATATCATGCCCTACCTAGGGGGGAAAGGAACAAAAAGAACATCTCAACCACCCCATAAGCTGAAATGCTCCTTGGACAAGGTCTTGTAGGTACTGTTGCTGAGACAGGGACACGAAAAACGAGAAAAAAAGAAAAGAGGAAAAGAATTTGGGCGACGCAACGCATCGACAGGTTGCGATCATGTTTATGCGGCTCTGATTTTCAAACCCTCGTCCTGCAATGCCCCCCTCCTGGCGAGGCATAAGGGTATGCCATTGGAGCGAAGGAGGACACATGTCGGCCCTGCATATACTGAGCATAGAGGTGGTGTGCCGTGGCTCTCGCCAGCCTGCGACTTGTGACAGTAAGCCTCACGGTTCGAGGAAGAGGGGCCGGGCATCTCAGGATCTCATTGAACGCGAAATGGCGTCGTTTGATAAAACCCCAGGCCTTCAACTTTGCTCCTTTATCACCGCAGCCGAGGCTTGAGATAACACCAGAGCATCAGGTAAGGTACTGGCAGTGTCTGAGCTGGTTTGGGGGATTTACGGGTACGGGATATAATTCTCGGCCCCGGGATAGCGGCACCTGCCGACTACCTACTTCGGATACTACTTACGGAACGAAATAAGTCCATCAGAACTAAGGAGACGGCGATCGGAAATAGTGCATGGTTTCTCCCTTTGGCGCATGAATATCCATCTTCCGTCTTCATTACTACTGTCTCACTGAGGAATAAGCTTTCTTCCCTAATCTGCTTCCCTGCATAGGTACTCAGAAGGCGCTGCGACATCTAAGATGCGCACGATTCTACCAAACTCTGCTCTGGCCGGCCGTTGAAATACACGTGCTCACTTTACGGCTTATGCCGTCTCGCAACGATCTCGCAACGATTTGATAACCCATGCGCGGCGTTGTTCCCAAGAAGAAAAAAAGTATAAAAGAAAAGGGGGACGAAAGACAGAAAAAACAATAAGAATAATTGACACTCGACATCGGGTCTATTCCTTCATCACCCGCCCTACTGGGCTGGCTGGGCATATTTGGCCGTCCACTCCTTGGCAGTTTCTATCGCAGCTTGCTCGTTCTCCTTCCAGCTCTTGGCCACATCGGCCGCGAGGGGGTCATCGGGATTGGGGGCGCCAAGTAGCGCCTGGATGGAGAGAAGAATGGTGCGGATCTGGAGGGCCGGAGACCAGTTATCTGCGACACAAAAAAATAATTTTGGTCAGCTGCGGCTGCTTCTTCACAGGAGCCCACTCCAAACACGGCGCTCCCATCATCGTGAGGACCTACTTTTCAGGACGTCCAGACAGATTCGGCCAAGCTTATCGACGTTGGGGTGGAAGATTTTGGTCAGGAATCGGATCTTGGGCGCCGTCATCGGGTAGTCCTCGGGGAGGAAGAGCTCGAGCTTGAATATGCCACCTATTCAATCGTCAACACCCATTATCCATAAGAGCCCAAGGATTCCCTCTGTCTTGTAGTATGTTATCATCGGGGTTCTGACCTTCATATGGAGACTGTGATGGCCCGTGGATCTCGACGTCGAAGTAGCGGAGGTTGTCTTCGTGGGGCACGGCGCTGATACCAGGGACTCTGTTTGTCAAGGAACACTCGTCAGCACACGTCGCGCCACGTACACAGGGCAAGTCAAGTCGCTGAGATAGAGGTGATTCTCACGGCTCCGCCATAAGGCGCTCGGTCTCCTTCACAATGCGCTTGGGCAAGGACATGGCGATCCCCGGCGAGGCGTAATCGGCGAGGCGTAATCGGCAGCGGTTAGTGTTTGTTGCGGTCGGCGCTCGCTGGCAAAAGAAGGCAAGACTCTTGACTGGGCAACGACCGCGTTGAGGTCTAATCGGAACTTGTGGCGTGGCGTTGTCGAATAGGGACGACCAGATTCGGGGCGATTATCTCAGAATATCAAGCGAGAGGATGAGGGGCACTAGGATGACGAGTGATCGTGTGGTGGAAGGATCGACTTCGGAAATGCGGGAGAAAGCCCTCGAATGTTGTGATAATAGCGGCGCAAATCTATCCCTAGACTGGTCTTCTAGTTAGATCTTTAAATCAAGGCTGATGTTGACAGAAGTGCTGTTCGGAGGGGTTGATGGGGAGATACGAACGCGGTGCTTCTTTGGTATTCTTGGGTGATTACGGTAGGTGCTCCGTATTGTCGGGCTGCCCCGCACTCCGTGAGAAAAAGTTAAGAAGCCGTGATCCAGCCCGATAGACCCGCAAAAGGAAAGGAAGATACCTACGTATCTCTAAGGTACGTTGTAGCGCAATTGCTGTTTGGATATCTTACGTAAGATAAGGTAGGTATACAGCTGATGTACCTTACGTAAGCAGACACGGAACGTCGTCGACGCGTGACGGTGACGGTGCATCAAAACCCCCGGTCGAGACTTCCGACCTAGAGTCCCTCCAACGACCACCACCTACCTGATCGTACAATCTTGACGACTTCCAACCTGCCTGTTCATCAGGGCTTCCTATGAGACTTGAACGTCCTGAGCAATCTGACTGAAGACCTGACTGACGACCTGACTGACGACCTGACTGACGACTTGACGACGACCTGACGACGACCTGACGACGACCTGACGACGACGGGAATGACCTGAAGCCATCATATAGACGCTCCGGCTCATGGGCTTTTCATAGAACCTGGTGAGCTCGGGGTGGGACGTAATCCTTGATGCGATTTCGTCACGTTCCCATGAGCCCCTCGTCATGCCGTCCTTCGACCAGATTGACCCGCCTAAGAAAGGCAAGATTATCAAGTCGGCTTTCGACAGTGAGAGCTTCGACTCCGATGGGACCATCCATGTTGATGGGCTCGTTGGCTCTGCCACCATCTCGCCTTCTGGCCGAGATGTAGCCCTTGCATCGTGAGTTTCTTCATCACAAGCCACGAACCATGGAGCCCTATGAGAAATGAGCCATGAGCATGAGCATGAGCATGAGCCATGGACCATTTCGTCTCAAAAGGCTCGCTGCATGGTTCGCCATGTCAACTTGGAGAGCCGGTATTGACACGCAGTCCAGACCCGAAGGCTTAGCCATTATTGATTTGGACTGCCCCTATAATCCTCCCCGCCGCCTGAGCAGCCATGGGCTTCCCTGGCTTGTTACCGATGTTCAGTGGTCGCCCTTTGCCATCCGAGATTACTGGATCGTGTCCACTGCGAATCACCAGGCGCTGGTCTGGAATCTCAACTTGCGGGATGATTCGAGCTCTGGCGCCATTGAGCATTCCCTCCAGGGCCACAGTCGGGCCATTACCGACGTTAACTTCTCCGCCCACCACCCAGACCTCCTCGCCACTTGCGCCGTCGATGGCTACGTTCACTGCTGGGACCTTCGCCGTCCCAAGCAGCCGGTCCTCAGCTTCTGTGACTGGTTCGCCGGCGCTACCCAGGTCAAGTACAACCGACAAGACCAACATATTCTCGCCTCGTCTCACGATCGCTGGCTGCACATCTGGGACGACCGCAAGGCCGTTGAGCCCCTGAGATCCATCAGTGCACATACCTCGAAGATTTACGGCGTGGATTGGAATCGATTCAACGCCACCGCCATCGTGACCTGTTCCCTCGACAAAAGCATCAAGTTCTGGGACTACTCCAACGACACCGACGCCCCAAGCCGTGTCATCTCTACCCCGTTCCCCGTCTGGCGGGCACGTCACACACCCTTCGGCAGGGGTATGCTCGCCATGCCACAAAATGAACCGGGCGACTTGTACCTGTACGACCGTCGTGTAGACGATGACGCCCCGGTGGACACCCCACCGGTGGCCATCTTCCCCGGTCACGGAAACCACAAGGTCAAGGAATTTCTCTGGAGAAGCAGAGGGGGTATAACCGAGGACGGTCTGGACAACCGGGACTTCCAACTCGTTTCCTGGGGAGCCGATAACGAATTGCGACTCCAGCGTATCGACGCTGCCACCCTCGAGTCCGTGGGCTACAAGAAAGGTGAGCCAGCAGCCAAGAACCTCAACCTCACCCGCAAAGGGGCCACCTATAAGACATTTCGAACCATGGAGGACAGCATCAACCGTGATTGGAGAAGTGCTACCATGAGCGATGCCCGTCCGGGAGGCGCAGGAACCCACCACCGACAAAGCACACTCACCATGAGTATGCGGTCCAATGCCTCAACTCATTATAATCGGATTGGTTCTGCTTGGAAAGGAGCCTCTATGAAAGCCCGGAACACCCAGAAACAAATCGATCGGAGCCAGGCACAGATCGGCTGGATGAAAGGCATCACCATGACCAAGAAGAAATCAGCTTCGGACGCGCCACTCCGCGGCGGCGATGAAGCGAAGGCCTCGCCGCTGTTCAACCCCGGATATCCCGATGAGGGTGAATGGGGGGAGCCTGAGACGGTTCACGATGAGTTACTCCGCGTGAGCACCCAGCTCCCCAAAGTCAAGTGGGAACACATCGACATGGATGCCCTGACCCTCAATGCCTCTCTCTACGGACCGTGGGGCCGCCGCGGGGAAACCATCTTCATTCAGGTCAGGGTCGACATCCCCACTACTTATCCCAAGTCCAAGGCGCCCAAATTCTTCGTCGAGAAAACGAGCTTCATGCCCGATGAGGTTCACGGGAAAATTGACGTCGAGATCCATCAACTGGCACGGAAGTTTCTGGAACGAAAGCAAAACTGTCTCGACGTCGTCTTCAGTTACCTTCTGGGAGAGGTCGATCTCGAGTCCAGCACCACATTCTTCAAGAATGTGAAGGACCTTGACGATGACGTCCTCGATGGGCTCGCCGATGAGAGCTCCAGCGAGGAAAGTGACCTGGACATACCCACCGGGGGCTCGGTCTCCATGTCTCAGGAGCTCGCGGGAAGTGCCGAGATGGACGGCACTTTGGCCCCCACGAATCGACCCACCATCCCGCCTATGCCCCGATTCTGCGGCGGTCGGTTCTCCAACGACGGGAAGCTGGTGTGCTTCTTTCCCACCAAGGAAGAGAAAGCAAAAGCTCTCTTCTCTATGCCTCCGGAGGCGTTGAAGGAACGCCCCAAAGGGGAGCCCGTTTTTGCCGGCTTTGGTCGCCTGGGGCACGACTCGCCCCCCCACAAGAAATACGGCAACGATGAGGGTTCTGGCACAGAGGACCGGTCTGATTCGGATGACTCGACTGGCAGCTCATCGTCATCGGACGATTCCGAGTCGACGTCGATGCATAAGATGAACTTGTGGTATCAGCCGAGACATCGATTCAGGAGAACGTGGAGTGACAGTCGCTCGGTGCGGTCGAGCGGAGGGGGGACGGGCATTGGGACGGGAACCGGCACCGGGTCCCTTAAGAGACGAACCGGTGCCAAGCCTAAGAGTATCGTGTCCCTTCACGACCTGTCCGACCTACAACCGGCGAAGCGTACGCTAGCTCGCGAGTACGCCATTTTCGGCGACGGGGCCGACGTCTGCAAGCAGAACGCCGAGGTTGCTGCAAAGTACGGATACGCTGAACTGGCGGAGCTCTGGCGCTACCTCGCGCTGCTTCTGCGCAAGGACATTCCACTTGAGCCGCTCGGGTCCGTACAGGAATCGGAAGGGCCGCAGGATTCGATCCTCGTCATCGCGCGCGATGCCGTGGCACGCCGCCTTAACGCAGCATCGACAACAGGCAGCCTCGCGCACGACGACACGAGCTTGAATGGACGCGTCAAGTGGGGAGCCCATCCACTGGCACGAGACGTCCTCGAAGACCTATTCGATCATTTCGAGCGCGCGGCCGACATACAGATGCTAGCGATGCTCTCTTGCATCTTTGGCGAGTCCTCGAACCATGACGGGGTAGCTTTTGCCGAATGCCACTTAACACAGCCCGAGACGCCGTTGCCCATGAAGGCGCCGTCGTTTTCTCTCGATTATTTCCCGACCGATGCTTCCCTGTGGGTGCTGAACCGCCCGAACCATAGCAACATGACCTCTGCCATCACTACCCCTAGGACGGCCCACACGCCCATCCGATATTCGGGCTCACAGGGGTCGGAAGACGTGGTGCTCTGGCCCGGGGAGGCTGGGTCGAATTCGTACTCGTGCGGCGAGACCCCTCCTACCAAGGGGGTAAGGGAATATTTGGCCGAGGCAACAAGCCAGATACACAGTTTATCGACATCACCTAGTGGACGGCCGCTGACCAAACCGGCCCACTCTGGGCTGACGTCGAGCTTTGCCATTAACTTGGGACGGTCGTTTGCGGTCGCAACGACAACGCCGTCCTCGTCATCGCCTCCTCAACAAGGGAGAAAGCGGCCTAGTCCCGCCGAAACAATCCTCAGCAACCTGGCACCGAGCATGATGGGCAACCTCACGCGGGGCGGGTCCGCCATCCCGGGAGATACTGGCACCGCGAGGACTTCCGTGTCAGACGACGAGGTCTTCAGGGAAGACTTGGTATCGCTCGTGCCCGTGGGCGTCTCCGTCCACATGGAAGACCAGGGCATCTTCGACGACGACGGGTGGATGACGGCGCCCTTGCTGGAACCCCGCCGCCAGTCCATGTACGCCGCGTACCGGTATGCCTATGCCGAGATGCTCCAGATGTGGGGCCTCCCGCTGGAACGACTGGAGATTATGAAGTTCAACGTGCTCAGGGAAGAGGAGGATGGGACCGGGTCCAGCATACGCGACTCGTTCAGTGCCGTTCATGAGACCACGAGCTTTGCTTCCCATCACAAGAAAGAGCAGCTCCAGTCCCTCGTCGCTTCCGGGCGCGGCCTGGACGTCACAGGCGTCTGCCGGGTACACGAGATACAGATGGAGCCGCTCAAGTACACCAAAGGCTCGGCGACGCGACTCGGAGGTGCGGTAGGGGTATGCGAGCGGTGCCGAGCGTCGCGGAACCAGGCGGCGGCGGCGGCGAGCGACGCGACGCAGACGCAGCTGATGTGCGTCTTCTGCCGACAGCCCGTCGATGCGCTGTTCGTCCCCTGCCTTGGCTGCGGGTGCGCCAGCCACGACGCGTGCATGGCGGAGTGGCACGCGCAGGGAGAGACGCACTGCCCGGCGGGCGACGAGTGCAACTGTGCCAGGGAGGCGTCGAACGGGCAGGTGGAGTCCTGGGCGGCGATCATGGCGGCCGTTAGGAAGGGCCAGCAGCCCCTGTCGTCGCAGAAGGTCACGGCCGTGGGGACGCTGTCGCCTCCGGCCGAGGTGGCGGAGAAGGAGAAGGGGTGGGAGAGTGTGGCGTCGAGTAGGGAGATTCCGAGCCGGCCGTACGGGTTCGGCGGGGGCGGAAGCGCCGTGATGAGTGCGGCCCGGTTGAGTTTGGGGCACAGGTTGAAGAAGGCGGGGGACTGGTCGAGGGCGTCCAGTATCATGCGCAGGGAAGACGGCGGTAGTGGTAAGGACAACCGGGGGCAGTGACAGAGGCCTCCAAAAAATGGAAGCGATGCGGCAGGGAGAGGACACACCTCGAAGGTGACAAAAGAAAAGCAGAGGGTCATACGAAGTATACTTACTACTTGTGATGACAGTGTGTGAAGTTTCCATGCTAGATGACATCATGTACGATATAGGCTATAGTCAGTTAGATTGTGCCTCTAGCTATCGAGAAGAAACATATCGAGAAGGAACCATGGCGTCCTTGACGTTTATTGCGGATGAATGTACGGATGTTTTCTTCCCAGCAGCTGAGTTCTCGATGTCATTGGAGTTAGCGTGGAGGGTAAAGTCGGCCCCACATCTCCGACCGCCGCCGCCGGGCCGGGCCGTCCTTCGCCTCCGATCCTCCCCCGCATCCCGATCCACTGAGGTTGTCTGTGGTCTTGCAGTACGTATATGATCCTGAACCGTATTAAATGCTATGGCATAGGTGACGGGGACAGGCTATGGAGAGTTAAGGGGGAAAGATCAAAGATGAGCCAATGAAGTTGAACTGTACAGCATAATGATCTATGGACTGATGAGGAGACACTGAGCTGTGATACATACAAACATGAAGGTACTTATTATATCATTTTGGATACAGATTTACTCAAGGTAGAGAAGAAGTCAAGGCTATTTCTTGGTTAAGAGTGCTGCCTTAACGAATGTTAGCTGCCTGGTGCTAGGCACAGAATAGTGACATAAGAAGTCGGTCAGCTGAGAGGAAGGAGGAACGCTATTAACACAGCTCTTTCCTTTACGAACATGAGGAGCGATGGTATAATTCTTCTTCAGTTTTTCTTTATCTAGATAAACTGCAGGAAAGCAAACTTGGCTTATAACTTCCTAATCCCTTGTAGCATAAGGCGCTCGCTCACCTTTCTCATAACTTGATTCTTCTCTCTACCTTCAACTAAACGAAATCTGGGTACATATTGCCCTGGCTTACCTTCTACCTATAAACTGTTTACACACGAAACAAGAAAGGAAACCGCCAACTCGCCAACTCTTCACTCGTATCCGATTAAGTACGCATTTTTGAATCACAAGATGGTGTATCAGTTCTCTCTTATGCGCCTGGTTGCCATGGTTGCCTGTGCGCTTGCCGTCTTCCTGGCACTGGCACCTGCTGCCACTATACCTAAGGTTTACTATGGCCGAGGCTCTTACAACTTCTACGCCGAAGGTTAGATTGCAAGGCTGACATTACTCTCCATCATGTCGCCTAGGCCGGTTCTGTCCCCAGGATGGAGCCTGCTGGCCAGGAGCCAGAGATTATTTTGAAGAAGATCAATGGTGTTTGGGTTCCTTTCCGTGCAACTGATAAGGACCCCATCTTCACCTAGAACAGCACAAGTAAATTGAGAATTACCCCATGATCCCATCCCTTAACTTAAAATCTGAAAGTTGAGATTACTAACTGCCGGATTCTGGGTAGTCAACCTCCTCGCCCCGAGAAGCAACTCGGAGTGTCCCCAAGACCGAAATGTTTCTGGGATGGCCGCCCGAAACACAATAAGGATTAAAGGCGAACCCGGTTGCGCTGTGGGGAGCTGAAGGACCGGTCATGCGACAGGGAGGGTTATGGGCATGTAAATGCAGTCAATTTTGCTAGCTGTACAGAGTAACACTCAATTGACTATCTAGTTTTACTTTTATCGAGAATTGCTTATGAAGATAGCCTTATAATATTAAACTGCAGGTGAACACCAGCTCCTCAGTCGTATAATCGAATTTTGTCTACTCCATATAGTGCAAACATAACTGCGACTCATTACACATATGCCGTAAGACACGCCATGCATCATGTCGTTATCAGATATTCGTGAATGTAAAAACATACTGACAGCGTGCACTTAACACGCCCCCCCGTCTAAAAAGGAAAAGGAGCCTCCGAACCGTTTCGCACCCCAAGTAAGCCCAAGTCGCACATGTCTCGAACTCCCCGTGATCGGCAGAGGATTCGCCTCCACACTTTTGTAGTCCGAAATAAGGGGGGGCCGACATTGAAGTCTTAGCTACTGGGCATATGCAGCCAAGAAGGACTTTGTGCTCCTAGAAGACTGAGAGGGTGTGAAGCAATAAAAGAAGAAGAAAAAAACGGGGACTTGGTAATGAAAAGAAACACCAAAGAAAAATAAAAAGGAACAGAACAATTGGCACTGAAACAGGTTAGGTGCAACGCAACTACACCGAGCCAGTTTGATAGATGGAATTTCAAAATAGTATAGGAGAGAGAAAGCAGTTTATCATTGGTGTGAATCCAGGAGGCGGGCTTCAACCTGGCCCATTAATATCTGCCAGATGGTGCGACAGTGTGCCAGGTCATCGGTCTCCTCCTCCGACCAAGGGGAGACGTCGTCCCATTCACCGACGTCGCTGTCTTGGTCACGGCCAAGGGAAGCGGGTCCCTCGTCATCCTTCTTGGCCAGATCCTGTTCGTAGCTGACAGCCCTGTCAGCATCGGAAACTTGGGGATCGACACGGCGATCTTCGTGATCCTCCTTGCAGCCGTCGGCGTGGCCGCCGGCCCCATTGCCGCCCGGGACGATGCAGACACGGGCGTACAGCGCGCGCCGGTTGTGCATACTCGCGGAGGCCCAGAAGATCTGCCGCTCGTAGGCCAGCATCGACCCGGCCGGCAGCTGTTTGCTCAAGGGCCCATCGACTTGGGAGACGGCCGTGGCGGGGGAGGCGTCCAGGCGGGCAACCTGGACGCGGCCCGAGGATGTGAAGTAGCGGAACAGGTAGCAGTGAAGCGGTATCTGGTTCTGGAAGCGGACGTGGCGCGAGCACGCGTTCTGGGCGTCAAAGGGGGAAGCGTCTTGGGAGTTGAGGAGGTATTCGAACCAGACGTGGCGGAGGCGCGGGGCATCGAGGCGGCCAAGAGGGAAGGGCTTGAGAGGGTCGGCAGTAGTAGAGGGGCCGCTGGTATCGCGGGGAGGTTTGGCATCTGGCCGGATGAAGCCTTGGGTGGAAGATTGAAGTACAATGCGCTCTACGCGCCGGCGGCCGCGGCAGCCGTGGTGGCAGAACCCGATGGCCGATGTGGTCTCAGGCGAGGATTCTCTCCAGCGAAGGGTGTCGATGCTGAAGTTGGCTCTGGTATGAGGCTGATGGGTGCAGAAGTTGGGGTGAGCTTGGAGAACAGCATATATGGCTTCTTTGCTAGCGAGGGCGAATCGTGGGAGGGTGAGGGCAAGTCGAGACGGACTAGACGCCGCCGCAGTTACTCTCCCGATGGTATGTACCCTGGGCACCGAGACCATGTCGACCACCCTGCCGATACCCTGATCGTGAGAGAGCCATGCTTCTTCCCATATCTGGAGGCGAAGCTCTGGGGGCAAGCGGTTGAAAGCAAAGGAGAGTGTTCTAGGCTCCATAGCTGAAGTTGCAATAGGGGTATGAAATCGTCGCACTCAGGAGTCGGGACTCAGGAGTCTGTGCCTCTCAGTGCACGTATACCAGGAATGACGGACTGAGCCTGTGTTATATAACTTACTTCGTCTGAGTACGCATTTCATCCCATCCATCCCAACCATACCAGGGGGACGCTGGAGGAAGGAACCAAGCAGTAGCAGTACCAAGCAGTACCAAGCAGTACCAAGCAGTACCAAGCAGTACCAAGCAGTCCAATCTCGAAAACGAAATACGAAACGACCCAAGCCACTCAGGGTAGACGCGAATGACGCGGCACGGCTGTCTACAGGCAAGATGCATGGACGGTAAGAAGAAGCCCCATTGCAAAGATGGCATCCCAGCGTGACGGAATGTGATGCATTGGACATGAATCCCGTTACGTACTCGGTACTCCCACAAGGGCATCCGAACCACAGAGTCCGCGAGTCGCGACTCGTCCCCGTCTGCGGGAGTGTAACGGGCTGAGCCTCTTGGCCTTTGGGATTGGCGTCATCGATTCGTCGGCGATCATCCCGACGGCTTCGATCTAATGCATTGGGCAACTAGCCCTGCTTTCGGACATCCATGGGGTTAGGAAGCGTCTCCTCCGAAGGGTGAAAGGAAGAGAGTGGCGAGAATCTGTTGGGACTTGCAGGCGTTGTAACTTGTGGTTGTTGTTGTTGTTGTTGTTGTGGTTTCTTGGTCCGGCATGGCACGTGCGTTCATACGTAAGCCGGCACGTTTGCATTGCCGGGCCGCCAAATGGTAGCGCGAAATGTGGTACGTACCTACGAATTACTTCGTACGGATACGGAGTAATTCCACTTCTGCCCGGGCGGTAGCGGGGAGTGGGATCCGAGACAAAACAAGTTGAAACGTCAACGTCTGCCAATTGTTACTACGTTGTACACAGGCATTTGTATAAATTTAAGGATCAGCCGCTACGTACCTTAGGAAGATTAGATGAGAAGTGCTACTCATCGGGCGGGTACACATACCACGACGAGTTGGGGGAACTTTGTGAGGGTGTCGCAGTACAAGTACCAGTCAGGGGTACAACGTACAACGGTAAGGCTGCCGGTTATAAGTCCTGGTCGATCGAAGATCTGATCTTGCCGGGTGGGGGGAGCCAGGGGATGTCCACCTTCTCGAATAATATTAGAACCATCATCCAACCCCCCGGAGTTACTGCCAATGTTTTGGCAAATTGTCACCATGTCCTTGCGTTGTAACTAAGTCTCGGACTTTCAGTGTTTCCCTTCCCGCGCTTACTTCACCCCATGTCCCAAGAGATCTTAATCTTTCAATTCTCGAAACTCATACGGGGCAATAAGGTACTACAAAATCGCTACGGTGTTCGTTCCCCTTATCGCAAGTAAATAAACGCAAATGGTCATCCAGCGAACCCATCAAGCTACTGCAGCACAAGGCATATGACTCGGCATCGTTCCGGAGATCATACTGAAGACAATCTGTCAAGCCACTCGGTGACTCCGGACCGTGCATAACCTTGGCATGTTCCAAGTAAACGCTACAACGTACGCTTTGTCGCTTTTCATGGTCGTGGCAGTACCTACATAGTGAAGTGGCGAGGCACAGCCTCAATCCACTTCGACGTTTGGCACGACGTGGCTTAGACGTGTCAGAGAAAACGGGGGCCCGACCGCAGAAGAAACGTGATTCTCTTCTTGACCATCTCACCCTTCGCCTTTTTCGGCTCTCCGCTCTCGTCCAAGGCTTCCAAGTCTCTTTCCTCTGCAATCCCGATTTATACCTCCCTGCCAGCACTACCGAATACCGCCTGCGCCTGCGCCTGCGCATGCTTTAATTCTGATTCACAAACTTTCTGAGGCTGCTTGCCATCAGCCAAAAGAGCGGCGTCTCGGCGAGGGACGGCAGGGAGATTGGGTGGCAAAAAATCGCACATACTTCTGTTGCGCGGTCACGGTGGCTTGGGCAATGGATGCATGCTAACCAGGTGGGGAAAGAGGTAATTATGGAGCATTGGAGCTTGAATCTTGACCGTCTCTTTGGGACAACTTTGTGGTCACGGTCCACGGAAGGGACCGGAAACCAATGTGATTTTGCGGCATTCGGCGACCGCCTTTGTTGCACTGCGAGGACCACAAAAGCTGCAAGCCTTCAAGAGCTTGCTCGGATCGATGATGCATAGAATCAACGAGGACAAAGAGTTCGAGTTCTCCTTCGTCAAAAGCAACATCGCTGGGAAGTTCGAAGGCCGGCCAGGCATGCTCATTGACCATTGGACTCCTGGGTTGAAACCTACCAGGAGAACACGGTTCCCGTTCCCTTGGGGTGTCATTAAAATCTGATTCACACATATTATGGCACTCAGCCGATGATCTATGCGAACTTAGCGTATGCGACTCTTTGCTACCGAAGCATGCCCGGCTTAGCAGCTTCTTCCCATGCCTTCCCTTTTGGAAATAAAAGTAAGACATCCGCCATAAGTCATCCGACTGCAGTCTTCTAATCCTCTTGTGATGCTGGAGAGAAGGGTGAATATATGAGGTCGGGATGCTTCATCAACCCCGCTGCTGTCTCTGGCCGTTCTGGGGGACGGTTTGGGGTGTGTTATATCGCTCTGGTTGCGAAGAATCGAAGATCATGTCCGGACTCCGACCTACACCGCCGTCGAGACGGAGAACGTTTTGACGATGGTCCATCACCAAGTGGCAAGAGGACAGAGGGGAAGCGCCCATAAAGCTAGTTTTCGTCACCGCATCACCGCTCGCTCACCCGTGAGCATTCCCGATACAGCCATTACGCCTCTACCTACAACTTTACAAGCGTCCACCGCAGAGGAAATCTTCTACCATCCTGTCCGTCATGCTGCGTGGGCGAGTCAGATGAAGTGAGATATAACCATCATGACGGATTAAATTTGGTTGTTAGTCGTGGAGATATCATGCTACCTCACGAACACAGGGACTGAGTGCCTGACCATTGCACCTCCCACTGTGGAGGACTGAAATTCAACGTCTTTTCAATACGCTACACCACTGATTTTACAAAGATACCAAAAGAAAAAGTAAGAAGTGATTATCGCTGACGCAGCATGCATGCATGGAAAAGTTCAAAAGGGGAAAAAAAGAAACCCTGCGTGAACTGGGAATCGAACCCAGGGCTCCCCGATGGCAACGGAGAATTTTACCACTAAACCATTCACGCTACTTGGGGTTAAAGTTCAGATCAAAAGTTTTCGACTATTAAGCTGCGTATTCTCTTTGACCCCGTACTCTAACAGACCACAGTCTTTTCGGTTACGTAATAGGCCGGATTGCCAAGAGTACAATCCGGGTGGACGCTTACAGAATCTGCACCATATAAAATACAGTGGTAGCGTTTTCCTAACGGTCTAAGACAGTTATAATTACATATAATTACCTTAATTAATTTTTAACCTATTTTATAACGATTTTGACTACGCTTTATCTGATAATTAAGAGTCTTACTTACTAAGTAAACTACCTACTTTTTTACCTCTACTACTACTACCGATTTAAGAAGCTATCTAGCTACGCCGATATAGCGTGTTAATCTATAAATAACTGTTAAGATATCGCACCTTAGCCCTATTACGTATAAAACCCATAAGGATTAGGAGCTCTAACGACGCCTATACGAATCGGTTACCACCTATAATAACGTATAGAGGTTTCTCCGCCCTATCGATCCGACTTAGTCCCCTAAGGAGCCTATAATACCGGATTACGGCTTTTTCCCCTTTATAACACTTAGGCGTATGCTTACGTAATATCTCGACCTTACGGACGCGGGCTAGAAAGCGTATAACGTCGAAATCGCGCGCTAAAAGATCCTATAAGCGTAATACGATAGCTACCTGAAAGAGATTAACGCTATACTAACCTAGTAGGTTAATACTATCGACTAAAGCCGTAGATAACTACTATAAGGAGGTATACCTCGCGAGGTGTATAAAGCTGTTAAACGCGATACGGATTAATACCTGGCTACCCGCTAAACCGATACCCACGAAAAGTATATCGAGCACGTATAATACCCTACGAATAGCCTTAAGAAGCTCGGGGAGTAGTTAGATAAGTGGCAGCTACTACTATAAAGCTATAAAGATACCGGTTTAAAGCCCGCCACGTATATATATAGGTTATAGATTTCTTTAAAGGCATACGCCCCTATATCGGCCGCGATTAGACTAAGGCTAAGGGACGCCTTATAGATAACTAAGTAGTTATACCCGAAGACATTTACACCCTCGGCTAGAAGTATATTAACACTAGACTTAAAGACTAAGGAAGACGCGGTAGCTACCGCGCTATAGTATTCCCTACACTATACACCGGAAGCGAAAAGGGTGAAGATACCTTAAAGACCACGGCTAAGCCCCGTAAAAAGGGCGGCCGTGGGAAGAATAAAGCTAAGAATCCCACTACCGCGGTATCTATAGCCACACCTTTAGCTACTTTAACTAACCGTTCTAAGCGCCGCTAATCTACTCTATAGAGAGGGTAGATCTACCGCGTATACGCTATACCTAGCCACGATATTAACGCCTGCTTTCATCTATTCCCGGATACGGTATATAACGATTAGATACCCTTTAAGAGCACTAAAATAACCGTCTAATAGATCCTTAAATACGACCCCTTACTACGCGCGGAAGTAGAAGAACTACGCGCCGTAAAGAAGGTAAAAAAGGATATAAGCCGGGACTCTATATAGCTTAAAGAGGCGTGACTTAACTATAGTAGCGTCTGTAGCGGCGTCTCCCACGCCGCTACCTTTACGGCTAGCACTACTACTAGCTACCCTCTTCGAACCTCTACTATCCTTAATTCCGGTACCACTATTTATATTTTTAACGATTTTTCCTGTTTTTCTAATTTTACACCCGCTACGCTGGGAGACTACGTAGTTATAGGCAGTTCGTCCCTGCCTATTAAAGGTTACGGTAACGTGACCGTGAGATTAAACGGACTAATAGGAGGCCTCGATTTTAGACTATTAAACGTCGTATACTACGAGGATTTTACCTATAATTTAATCTCTAACTAACGCCTACGTCTTCGAGGATACTTAATACGCCCTAGATTTCACCGGGAACGCCAGGGCGTACTACAGGCGTACCACGGGCGTACTATAGTATAAGCCATAGCACGCACGGGGTACACCATAAGTACTTTTAGTATACACTATAGCTTCCCTGGGTTATACCCGGGTTCCTGTATATAGGATCCGAGGATTCCACGGGGTTTACCCGTGGAATACTTAAGTCCTAGGGGCACGCCCCCTTAGCTTAGAGAAGATATCTTTATTACACCATATATTTTATAGTAAAGGTCACCCCTCGAGAAAAGCCTGGCTTATAGGTCCTATAGTACTGGCTAGCTAGGAGATTTACCGGTTAGGCATATTAAATAGTAGTAACTAAGCTTTTAGGTAAGGTTCGCGTGCCGCCGCCTAGCGCGAACTGCGTATGCTAAGACTAAATAGACACGTGGTTTACTAGCGAACGCTAGCGTGCTAAGCGTAGCCGCCCTTAAAGGCGCGAACTTCGTATACTAAGACTAAATAGATATAAGGCGCGCTAGGCGAAGACGCCTCCCCTTTAATGGGTTTAGGCGTGGAGCGATAAAGGGAACCACTGTTAAGCGTAGGAATAGCGACTATACGAACCTATACTAGCCGTGGAACCCGAGTTTCGATACCGTGATAACCTTCCTAATAATCGCTAGCGATAACCGTTTATAACGATCGCTAAAAGGCGTAGGATAGCGATTATACTATCCTGTATATTAGCGTCCTCCGTGGAATTAGAGTCCTAATAGAAACACGGAGCATTAACCTAATCGCCTCTCTTTTACTAGGTCTAGGCGTGGAGTATACTAAGGATTCTATAGTCGCTAGGTAAGTATAGGAATAGTGCCTATACTACCGGTATAAGCACCCACTATAGATCCCTAGCTTTAGTATAATACTAATCTTCCTAATAATCGCTAGTCAGCATAGGCGACTATATTAACCTATACTAATACGCCTCGGAACCCTACCGGGTATCGTGGGCGTACCTTAAAGGTGCTATAGTATATACTATAGCACCCACGGGGTATACTATAGAAGCCGTGGCGTATACTAGGGTATCTAGAGGACTATATACGTAGACACTAAGGATCCTACGGGGTTTACCCGTGGGTATATTAATCCTAGAGGCGCGCCCCCTTTCTAACTTAGAGAAAATATCTTATTTTACCACCCTTTACGGTACCCTAAGGTCACCCCTTTAGAAAAGCCTGGCTTCTAGGTCTAAGAGTACTGGCTGGCTAGATATATACCTGGTCAGGGCATATTAAATAGTAGTAACTAAGTTTTACGCGAGGTTTACGTACCGCCGTTTTACGAAAGCTATGCGACGCCGCCGCGTCCGCCGTAGTTATTAAGTAAAATAGCTTAACCGCTTATCACTAGATGAAAACGCCCCCCCTTTAATAGGTTTAGGCGTAGAGTATATAAGAGAACTACCGTCCTTAGGTCGTATACCGTTAAACGCTATCTATACCGCCTTTATAACGACTACTAGCTATAGAATCCTAAAGCTCCGAACTATAATCGACGCTAACCCCGCCGATAATATTCCCCGCCTCCGGGACCTTAAAGGAATAAGGAATATCGTTAAGATAGTTAACGACTATCCCGATCTTACCGAAGAATCCCTTTCGCCTAAGATTCTCGCCCTACTTCGCGTTACTAAGTAAGCCTATAATCTCCTTAGCCTGCCTAATACTAGCGGCGCCTTAACCTTAAGAGGAAGAACTATAATCGCGAGATCCACTAAGAAACCTATATACCCTTAGACGTGGACTATAACGCCGGTAAAATTCACTAATGCCGTGATTAAATAGCTAAGTAAGGAGCCTTATATTACGACCAACGGGCCCAACACACAATATACAGGAAGGATGCCCTAGTACGTGACGCCGCACCAAGATATAACCAGAAGATAACTCAGGAAGGAGTCACGTGTCAGGCCACGTGATATAGGGAAAGGATACTTTAGAACAACATAGGGAGTGATCACCAAGGGCCTAGTGAGCAAGAGTGAACAACACACTATATATACCTTAGTATCCTAGGTCTTACTTCTACTAGAGATCAAGACATCGATCAATCTAAGTCTTCACCTAGACTACTATTCTACGCTTAAACCTACCTTGTAAGGAAGACGCCTAGTCTTTACGACGTAACTACGACTAGACCACTACGAACGATAGTTACTACTCTTTAGTTAATATCCTCTTCTTATTTTAAACTAAAACCTCGACGCTAGTCCTATATCGTCCGCTATACTATAGAGGACCGGAAGCCGTCGTAATATTTTAATCGATCCTATTCGGTAAGTAGACCTTAACACCTAATAAGCAGTACTCTCTCGATAGAAGGTAATATATCGAATAATGCCAATTCCACGGGCAACGCTACTAGTAACGCTAGAATAATAGCCACCGCGGCCGCTAACCTAATATAAGCCATACGTAATTAAATTATATAACTCTATTAACAGAACTAGCAACTCCGAGCTCAGATTAAGGCACCATATCCTAGTAACCTAAGGTATAAATACCCAGAGCCACCTAAATACGATAGGACTCGGGGATAGCTATAAGGCTTCCTAACCTATCTCCGGGGGTATTTCTTATTCTATAGGGACACCCTTAACACGGAGGAGACGAAAGTTCTCTACGCTATAGCACTCCTTATAGAAGACGCCTATAGGTGGTTTAAGCCTATCTATAGGGACTATTTAGAGCACCTTAACGATCCTACTAAGAGGGAGGATAATACTATGGCTATCTTCGGCGACTTTAAGATCTTCGCTTAGTAACTCGGCGGTATCTTTAGATAACCCGATAAAAAGAGGGTCGCTGCCTAACGACTTAAAAAGCTTCGATAGACTAAGTCAGTAGCCGACTATACCGCTAAGTTCTAATAGATTGCCTTAAAGCTTAACTATAATAACGAACCCCTTATAGACTAATACTATCGTGGACTTAAAGACGAAGTTAAGGACGAACTATATAAGCTTAA